CAATGTTGGCGCCGCCGCCGCTGACCGACCTCCGCGCTGAGCCGTTGGCCGCGGTGGCGCTGGCGGCCGACGCGTTGCTGGCGGTCGAGTCCTTTCGCGAGCGGATGGGCGTCTGCGCCCCGCGCCGCTCGCCCAGCGGCGACCGCACGCCGGCGGCCGGGCTCGAGTGGCTGGCGTTGCTCTGGGTCGAGTCGCGCCGGGTGCGGGCGTGGACCGGCGTCGACGAGGGCGCCGAGGTGAGCGAGCTGATGCCCATGCGCGAGGATGCGCTCCTGCGCACGCCATCCGAGGGCGACGTGGGCTCCTCGTCGAACACGGGCACGACGTGCTCCTGCCACTCGAGGTGGACGACGAGGTTCTTGGACGCCACCGTCATCGTGTTGCCGTGCGCCGCGAACCACTCGAGCATCGCCGAGCCGCTGGCGAGGTCGCCGAGGCGCGAGCCCAGCGCCAGGCTCGGCTCGCCGAGCTTGGTGAGGTGAAACTGGCCGATCATCTCCTTGCGCCGGATGCTAAAGCAGCGGATGACGCCGTCGACGGTGACGGCCACCAGCTTGTCGTGGTCGACGAGCGAGACGCCGAGCGAGACGTTGCTCTGCTGGCCGAAGCGGACGACCTTGTTGCCCGCCCGCCAGTCCCACACCACTATGGCCTTGTCCTGGCCGACGCTGACGAGGTAGTCGCTGTTGAGCGCCACGTTGCGGATGCCGCGGTTGTGGCCCGAGAGCGTCTGGAGCACCTCGCCGGTCCGCATGTCCCACACCATGACCCTGCCTGTATCGTAGAGGCCGGCGCAGAGGATCGACTCGTCGAGCAGGAAGTCGAGGCAGGCAATGGCCTTGGCCTTGAGCACCTTTTTCGTCGTGCCCGTCGACAGGTCCCACACCCGGATCGTCTCGTCGTAGCTGCCCGTGACGAGCGTCTTGCGCCCCTTTAGCTTCATGGCGGTGACGAAGCCCGTGTGGCCCTCGAAGAGGTCGATGCGCTGCGCGATGCCCTTGGCCCAGTTGCGCTCGCGGAAGAAGAGGCCCTTGACCAGCGGCTCCCAGCCCTCTGGCTCGGCGGGCGGCTGCACCTTGACGGGATCGCCCTCGGTGAGCGCCAGCGCGTGGCTGCGCCATAGGTCGGGCGTGCCGGCGAGCGAGAGCCACTTTTTCGACACCTGGCGGCACCGCAGCAGGTCCTGGACGGGCAGCTTCTCAAAGATCTTGAGGGCGACCGAGTCCGGCAGGCCGCTGACGACGTCGCGCGTCGAGCGCAGGTGGCGCTCGAGGGTGCGCGCCATGGTGGCAATGTCGCCGGGCAGGCAGGCGTCGAGGATGATGCTGAGCAGGCGGATGCGCATGTGCGAGGGCAGTTTTTGGAACTGCGACCGGATGGCGTCCTCGTCAAAGTAGGCCTGCCGCGCCACGCCGTTGGCCGCCTTTGGGGCGAGGACGGACAGGTCAAAGTCCCTGGCCGCCTTTTGGTCCTCGTCGGTCGGTTCCCGTGCCTTGCCGCCACTGCCGCCCTTGCCCGCCTGGTCGTCGTCGTCGTCTTCCTTGAAGTAGACGCACGAGTGCCATCCGAGCTCCTTTGCGGCGACGACGTTGAGGGCGCTGTCGTCGACAAAGTAGCAGCGGGTGGCGGGGCCGGCGCCGACGAGCTTCATGGCGGCGTGGTAGTAGTCGAGCTCGGGCTTGCAGGAAAAGTCGGGGAGGGCGTAGTCGCAGAAGACGATGCCCTCGACCTGGTCGTCGAGGTCGAGGAGCCTGAGGACGCGGTCGGCGTGCTGCTTGTAGGCGTTTGTGAGGGCAAAGACGCGCACCTTTGTCCGGTCGAGGTCCGAGAGGAGGCGGATGATGTCCGGGTCGGGGCGGAGGATGTCTTCGAGGGGCAGGCTGGCGTCGCACTTTTTGTCGTAGTCGAGCGGGTCGATTTCGTGGTGCTTTACGAGGCCGCGGATGGCTAGGCCGTAGGTCTTGTAGTACTGCTCGTGGAGCATGCGGGCCTCTTCGGTGCCGAAGCCCATGCCGGTAAAGTAGGCGCGGATGCGCTCGCCCATGAGCTGTGCGATGCGGGTGCTGCGCTTGTAGAGGGTGTTGTCGATGTCGAGCCAGACGATGGCGTCCTTTTGTGCCGAGGCGGGGTCCTGCGGGCCACGGGGCTCGAAGCCGACGCGCTGGGTGGCGTCGAGGTCGAGTTGGCGCTCGGCATCTGGTGGTGGTGGTGTTGGTGCTGCTGCTGCGTCGCGCTTGGTGGCCTTGGTAGGGGTGCGGTTGGCAGGGATGGCAGCGGGGGCAGCGGTGGCCGAGGGTCTGGGAGCGGTGGGCCGGGTGCCATTGGGAGCGGGTTGCGAGGCTGGGGAGCTGGCGGATTTTGCGTGAGCAGAGGATGTGGAGACCTTTCTAGTGCGAGGCGATGATGAGTGCGATGCTGTGGGAGCGAGGCTGGATCTTGGCCTTGAGGTTGATGGAATGCGTGCCTTGTCCGTGGCCGAAGGTGACAGCGATGGGGCCGTAGTCCTCCTGTCCTGTGTTGCGCTGGTGGTGGGCTGTGATGAGTGAGGCGGAGCAGTGCCCGAGGATGAGCTCATGATGGCGCCGTGGGGATTGGTGCGCTGAGCGGATCCAACGGGGTCGGAGATGGAGGTGGTGGTGGTGGTGGTGGTGGCGAAGAAAGGGAAAATAAGGCCGGCCTGTGCGCTGGGCGTGCAGGTGATGCTGCCCCGCCCGCCCTGCGCAAGAAGGAAGCCAAAGGTTTGGCCAGGCAGGCAAGCCAAAGCCAAGGGCCCACAGGCACAGGCATGCACACAGGCCCAGGCCCAGGGGCAGGGGCAGGCCGTGGTGGCCGGTGCACGACCCCGCCGTCCACAGCGGCTGCGCTGCCAGGCCAGCCAGCCAAGGGCGGCCATGTGGAGGCATCGCGGCTTGGTTGGGGTGGTCGTCCTCTCTTGCCCGCATCCTGTGCTTCGACCACCACCACCAACATCACCAACCCGACACCATGTCTCTCTCCATCTTTGTCATCGGAGGCCGTAAGTCGCATCAATCCCGTTCCATCTCAACCCTGCCAACCCGTCTGCTGCTCGCCGCACACGGCACCCACTGACCACCGTCCACGCCCCACCTATCCTCCTCCCCCGGCTGTCGACCACACGCTAGACGGCAAGGTGGCGCTCTCCTTTACCCGCCAAGCAGCAGCGCGCGGTCACAGGATCATCAGCATGATCCGCCAGCCGGAGCACGCCTCGGACCTGCCCGCGGGCACAACGGCCGATGCGGTACAGCCCGTCGTCGCCTCGCTCGAGAGCGCCTCGGTCGACGACCTCGCCCACCTCTTCCAAACCCACCAGCCGGACATCATCCTCTTTGCCGCAGGTGCCGGCGGCAAAGGCGGCGCGGACAGGACGACGGCCGTAGACCACCACGGCGCCGTAAAGACGTTTGACGCCATCCAGCAGTCCGGCATCGCCAACGCCAACCCGCGCTTCCGTCGCTTCCTCCTCGTCTCGGCCGTCGACGTGCGCGACAAGAACAAACCGCCCCCCGCCTGGTACTCGGACGAAGACATCGCCATCTCAAATCGAATGAGGAGCGTCATCGGGCCCTATATGGACGCAAAGTACGAGGCAGACAAGGACCTCTCCCGCCGCACCGGATTCCCCTGGACCGTGCTCCGTCCCGGTGGACTCTCCGACGACCCGGGTACCGGCAAGGTCGCCCTCGCACAGCACCAGACTCTCGTCAACAAGGTCAGTAGTGGGCTTCCGTCTGTCACCCGCTCCCTTTTCTTGTCTTGCCTTGCACCGAGCTCAACCTCCCGTCTGCCCTCCCCTCTCCTTCTCCTCCTCCTACTTGGCCCCACTCCGCAGATCCCTCGCGACGACGTCGCCGCCGTGCTGCTCGAGCTCGCCGAGCTGCCCAGGGGCCAGGGCGATTCGCTCATGCTCGACCTCCTCTCGGGCAACAACGACGTCGCCACCGCCGTCAAGCAGGCCATCGAGCGCGGCAGGTCCGACTTTGAGGGCTGAATCCCGGCCCGGCCCGGCTCGGCTCGCTCACCACAGTCCCGAGCGTCGTCGTCGTCGTACATACTGCTTGTGATCGTGAATCGGACTGTCATTATCTCGTGTCGCATCTGCCGAGGTATCCAGCTGCGAAGACCCGTTGGCCGACATGGTGCTGCCCCCGTGCCCGTGCCCGTGCCCGTGCCTGCCCCATCTCAGACTGGCGGCGTAGCGGAACCGCTGCTCGCTCCGTTGCGGAAAGCGCCCAGAACTGCGCCACCTCCACCGCCTCCGGCGTCCATCTCCATCTCCTTGAACAGCGCCGCCTGCGGGCTCGCCCTCGCCTCTCGGATCAGGGCGGCAAACTTGGCGCTGCCGCCGGCGCCGCCCATTTTGCTCAGCGCGACGAGGGCGCGGAAGACGAAGCGCTGCAGCTCGCCCGCCTTTTCAATCTCCTGCTTGGTCGAGTTTTCCTTGAGCTTGGTCTTGAGCGTTGCCGACACGGGGTCCGACAGGTCGTCGAGGCGCTGGCACAGCTGCAGCGGCGCCAGCTCCGATACCCGGATCAGCGTCAGGTAGCACAGCACCTTGATCCCGTCGTCGTCCGACAGGCCGGCAATGACGCGGTCCAGGAACTCGGGCAGCCGGATCCGCGACAGGCACGTGTCGAGCAACTGGTACATGGTCTCATACGCGTTCTTGCGCAGGTCGAGGCCGTCGTCGGTCGTCACGGTAAAGGGACCCATGGACACCTTGCGCAGCAGCTCCTCGCGCACGTGCGTCTCGCCGTAGAGCAGCGGCAGCAGCGTGCCCAGGTGCTCGCGGATCAGGTAGGGCTTGTTGTGCGCCGCCGAGTTGAGCGCAAACATGGCGTGCCGGCGCACGTCGAGCTCCGGATCGCGCAGCAGCGTCAGGAACTCGACCAGCACCGGCGCCAGTAGCTCGTCGTACGACGCCGACGACTCGGTCAGCGTGAAGCGCACCGCCGCAATGACGGCCGCGCGCGTCGACGCCGAGGGCGAGCGCAGGCGCTCCTGCAGCTGCGCCAGGTACTTGGTCGGATCCGTCAGCGTCAGGCGCGCCAGGCACTCGGCGCCAATGTTGCGCGTCCCCTCCTCGTTTGTCTGGCACGCCTCGAAGAGCGGCACCCACACCGTGTCGGCCACGACAATCAGCTGCCTCGGCGAGCCGTGCGTGATGAGCTCCTTGAGCGCGTGCAGCGAGAGGAAGCGCAGCGAGTCCTCGGACAGGACCAGCTCCTGGATCACCGGGAGGAAGGCCGACAGGTTGCCGATGGCGATGTTGCCCACAGCAAAGGCGGACGCAATCTTGACCTCCTCGGACTCGGCAGAGTAGAAGCTCAGGACGCGGTTGAAGAGGTCCTTGCGCGGCGCGAAGTCGTTGAAGCGGCCCAGCTCGCCCAGCAGCAGCAGGCCAAAGTAGAGGTCCGAGTCCTTGGACTTGGACGACTCGAGCGTGCTCGCAGCCCGCTCAATGACGCCCGCAGACGTGTCGGGCGAGACGGCCGCCACGGCGCCAATGCAGCGCGCGATGGTGAGGTAGGCGTGCGTGCCCGACGTCGACTGCTTGGCCTTGTCGAGAGAGGCGAGCAGGTCGGCAATCGTCTGGTCGGCGGCCGACGGGTCGCCCTCGACGTAGACCTTGAGGAAGTCGAGGAGCGACTCGAGCGCCGGTCCCTGGGCGAGCGGCGAGCGGACAATGTGGTAGATCTCGCGCAGCGTCGACTCCTGCACGCTGGCGCGCGACGACGGGTCGCCCTTGAGCAGCAGGCCGACGACGCGGAAGATGAGGGGCAGGAGGTTCATGTCGACCTCGTCCTGCACCAGCAGCGGCTGGATCTCGGCCAGGATGGCGTCGGACGACTCCTTGCCCAGCTTGGAGCCGTATCGGGCCAGCAGCGCCGCGAGGCAGTCGAAGGTGGCCAGCTTCAGCTGACGGTTGCTCTTGCGCAGCAGCGCCGCCACTTCGGAGATGCACTCGTGGACGAACGAGTCAAAGACGGGGCCCTGGCAGTGCGGCGACGACACGATCTGGGCCACGACCTTGACGGTGGCCAGGCGCGTCACCTCGTTGCGCAGGCGCGACACGAGGAACTCGAAGCTCTCGGGCTGCTCGCGCTCCAGGCTGTCGCCGGCGTGGGCGAGCAGCGTGCCGAGGCACGCGACGCCGCGCTCCTTGATCTCCTGGTCCGAGTCGATCCGGTTGAGCCGGGCGAGCGTGGCCCTGTACAGCGGCAGGATGTGGGGCGCGTAGCCCTGGCCCCTCGACGCGCCGCCGGACAGCGGCTGCAGCACGGCCACCAGCTGCGACGAGGCGCGGAAGCCCTCGATGCAGTTGCGGTGCAGCTTGTCCTCAATGGCGGCGGCGAGAACCGGGACCACCGTCGGCAGCTGGCCCTCGAACGACTTGGGCGGATGCGTCTGGAAGAGGACACGGAGGAAAGCGAGGATCTCGGCCTTGAGGTTGGCGCCCGGACCGCTGGTGGACTCGGCACCTCGGAGCGCCTTCTCCATCTGGCCGACCAGCAGCGGGACGTACGCATCGAGTCCGCCGTCGAGCACGCCGACGAGCTCGCGCAGCACGGTGAACGCCTTGTGGCGCGTCGGCAGCGACTTGGACACGGCTTCCCTCGAGAGGGCCTTGGCGATGGCCGGCACGAGTGCGCGCAGCTGTCCGCGCGGCGAAGAGTCGCTGTCGTCGGTCTCCATATCGGACCGCTTTCGCTTGAGGGCACCCGGCGACTGGCCCATCATCACCTCGGTCGCCTGCGGTCGGCCGTCGAACAGCTGCAGGTGCCTCAGCAGTGCCAGGAAGGTGTCGAGCACCTCAAGCCGCACGCTCTCCTCGCGCTCCGAGAAGCGCTGCACCAGCACTGGCGCCACGCTCGACGTGTTCTGCGCCAGCATCTCGGGTCGGCTGGTGATGGCGGCATTGAGCACCTTGGCCGAGGCCCTGCGCACCTTCCACGAGAGGTCTTCGTCGTCCGAGTAGTCCTCGTCGATCAGATCATCGTCGTCGTCGTCGCCGTCGTCGTCCTGGTCGGCGTCAAACATCTCCTCGTCCGAATCGCCCTCGGCGTCGCCGGCGTAGTTGGGATCGTGCTTGATGAGCAGCAGGCTCGCCTGAATCGCCTGGTTGACAAAGGGCGTCACCTCTGCCGGGCAGCGGAGGAGGATGGCCTCGACCGTCTGCATGCAAACCTCGCGCAGCTCGTCGTCATCCTCGTCGGCCGTCGCCAGCACCTGGGGCATGAACTCGGGGAGGCGGCGTCCGAGCCTGCTGGGGCTGGTGCGGGCCAGGACGCCGATCAGCTGGACGGCCGTCCTGCGCTTGTCGAGGTCGTCTGAGCCGAGTTCGGACGAGGTGTGCATCGAGAGCCGGGTGAAGACCTCGGAGGTGGAGCAGGATCCCAGCGCGCCGAGCGCCGTCAGCGAGCGCTTGCGGACGGCGGGCCGGCTGTGGCCCATGGACTGGGTCAGCGCGGCCAGGGCAGACTTCTGAAGTCCGACGTTCTGGGCCACGGTCGACGAGAAGCGCGAGAGGACCTCGGCGAGGATGTCGAGCGAGTCGATGAGGAGCTCCTGCGAAGAGCCAGCATCGCCAATCTGCGTCACGAGCTTGGGGGCGAGCTTGAGGGCGGCGGTGTTGGCGAAGCTAGACTTTGCGGGAATCTCGGCGGTGACAGTCTTGAGTCCGAGGGCGGCAATGTCACGCAGCTCCTCGTCCTTGGAGGAGACGTATTCGACGAGCTTGTCGAGGATCGACTGCATCTGCCTCTCTCGGATCTTGCGGACCAGTGTGCCGAGGCTGCGGACGGCGGCGCGGGGAGCGCAGGAATGACGACGATGCGATCAGTGGTGGTGTATGCAGCGGCAAGCTGGACAAACGTGATCGCCCCTGGTGGGCGGGTGCGACATTGCAACGGCAGCGGTGCTCACGTCTTTACGGCCATGTTTTTGACCTCCCCGTTCTTGTCCTTCATAAGGTCGAGGACCTGGCTGACGGTGGCCGCCTCGGTTGCGTCGTCCAGCTGGAGAAACGAGTCCTTGTTGAGCTCGGACATGAGGTCGTTGAGGGCCATGTAGCGGAAGTCGGCGTCCTGGGACTTCATCTTTTCCAAGAGGGCCGACACGCCCTGGCCTGTCCTGAAGGAGGCCATGTTGGCAGCGGTCCCGCCAGAGGGGTGCGTGAGGTGCTGTGTCGCTGTGTCGCTGCGGTGGAGGAACGGTGTGGGCCAGAGCGGTGGAGGGACGGTGTGGGCCAAAGCGGTTGAGGGTCAAGGAGGGTGCACTCGCAGCAAGAGGATGTGGTGGTGGGAAGGAGGGCGGAGGTCAGTCGTCAACGAGCGTGACGCCGGTAGGGTAAAGAGGGGCCACGCAGCGACGATGCTGGGTGGTGTTGGTGGTGGTGGTGGTGGTGCAGAGGGCAGAGGGCAGAGGGCAAGAGAACGGCGACGGCGAAGCGAATCAATCTATGGGCAGGCCAGGCCAGGCTAGTAGTAGGCCGCGCGGGCGTGACGCTATCGTCAATCTGGCTCCACTCTGGCTGTGGCTGGCGTCCTTTTGTCGGGATGCGGAAGGCCCGACCACTGGCGAGGCGAGCGGGCGTGTTGGGTACGGTACGGTGTTGGTCCATGCGTGGCTCGCGGGTCGCCCCTCGCCCCACCTTCTGATCTGGCTGTTTGCGGGCCGATCTGACGCCCGACCCCCCCGATCCATGACCCCCCTGCTGCAGGTTTTCGCTTCGATTTCCCAGTCGACTTTTTTTCATCGCCCGTGTGGGGCTGGCCGGTGGGCCAGAGCCAGCGAGCGCACGCCGGCGGTTGGGTTGGTTGGCTGCGGGGCCTGGTCCCTCCTAGCCTGGCTGGCCCGGGCCACAGGGTGGGCGCCTAACCTTGCTGCTTTCTGTTTGTTGGCCTGGCCGTGGCGGGCCTTGAGCTCCCTCCACCACCTCACAGGGCCATCCTCGCCCCACTTCCATCTCCTTCATCGCCCACCACCATCGCCACCGCCCTGTCATCTCATCCTCACCGCTCGCCGTAGTCGTCTATCCCGCCCATCGACAGTGGAGCGGCGCCAGCTCAGCACCATCGACATCGCATACCCTCCGTTCCTCTCCATCGCGCCATTGACGAACAGCTAGACGAATCCTCAACCACGGCTGTTACCCAACTCCCGCGGCGTCCAACCCAGTCTGTACTACGCCGGGCTTCACTTCAGTTCGCTCTTCAGTCAGCAGACTTTGCGATCCGTACCCTCTCTTCTCGCGACGTCTGCGCACTATCCATCGACGCACTCGCCTCATCACGCTCGCCCGACTGCGGCCTGCCACGCTCCATCCTCCCGCGTCCCGATTCGTTGACATGGACTCGCTCTCCAACCTGCGAAACAGCCTCGACGACGCAGACTACTCTTCAAACAGACCCGATGGCTCCGATGCTGCGCGCGGCAGCGGCTCGCCCGACATTGCCTCGCTCGAGCGCAAGCGGCGCCAGCGCCACCTCGACGACCACGAGCAGGAGCTGACCAAGCAGTTCAAGGCCGCCGCACTCCAGCTCACCACCCTCTACCGCTCCTCGCTCTCGTCCAACACATCTTCCTACGAAGCCGGCTACCGACATGCGCTCAGCCACATCCTCGAGCTCGTCCAGAGGCCACCCGCAGCCGCCGAGGATCCCGAAGGCCCTCAGCAGCAGCAGCAGCAGCAGCAGCAGCAGTCCGAGGCGCTCGACAGCCTCTCGCCTGAACAGGGCATCCAACGACTACGATGGCTGGCAGGCTACCTGCAGAGGAGGATCGAGGCCATGAGCACCCAGGACGACGACGACGACGCAGGCGCTTCCATGCCATCGAGACCGTCCCCTGCGGCAACGCAGACACAGCAGCAGCGTCAAAGCAGCAGACCAGCTAGGTTCGAGGGCGCCGATCCCATCTCCGGCCAGAGGCATGGCCAGCAGCACTCCGGCGCCCCTTCGCCCTTGGGCAACACGGCAGCGCTTCCATCACCGCCCGCTTCTTCCGTCAGGTTCGGCTCCCATCCCGCCAGCTCATCAAACTCTCCGGCACCTCGTTCGGGGTTCGGCACACCGATCCCGCCGGCGACTGCTCCCACCGATAGCGAAGCTGCCCCTGCCGCCAGCGCACGGACGTCGGTACGCCCTGCCTCGAGCGGAAACACGTTTCCAGGTGGTCGGTCAGCCGAAGCAAGCTCTTCTGCAACGGTGTTGAGCGCTCCTTCCACGAATCCACCCACCCCTTCCAACCTTGGCGGCGGCGGCGGCTCGGCAGGTACGAAGCGCACGCGCGGCGAGAGCAGCACCGGCGGCATCGTTTCCCACCTCAACGATGGCGATGGCAACGATACGACAGGACGTTCGAGCGCTGCTGCCGATCTGAACAGCGCCCATCGGCGTCGTATCGGAGGCCGTAGGACAGCATCCGGCCTCGCGGCGGCCTCGTCCTCGTCGGCTTTCGGACCCAGCCACGCTGTGCCCGGTTCCATCGGTCATGTCGAAGGACCTTTGCCGGGCCTGCTGCCGCCGTCGCTGCGGTCCGGCAGCTTCGATTTCAAGCTGCCTCAGTCGGTCGGCGTGCGCAGCGTTGACTTCTCGCACAACGGGATGGCGGCTGCGGCAGCAGCGGCCACCGCGGCCAAGCTCAACGCTGGGCGGAGGCAAGGCGGCGGTGCAGCTCCAGGGTCGACCAGCACCAAGCGGGGCGGATCGCACGGGACGGCCGTGTCAAGCGTCCGTCGCGGACGGTCCGGCAGGTTGCGGCTGGCCGGCGGTCTGAGGGCGGGAACGACGGCGCATGCCTCGACCTCGGGCGAGCACGACATGGCGACCGACAGCGACGACGACTGGGTCGACGACGACAGCGAGCAGGAGGGTGGCGCATCGGCCCCATCCGCAGCGGCGAGCGGTGCCGTTTCCAATGGCGGCAGGCATGCGCACTCTCGAGGAGGTGGCCGGGCCAAGCGACGAAGGACGGCGCGTGCGCCAGACGCCTCCAACACTGAGCCCGATGGCGACGAGGCGCACCGTGGCGGAGACCACGAGGCGGGCGACATCGACATGTGAAGAAGCCGACACCTAGGCACGTATAGACGGAGCGACTACGCACGCAGGCGAGAGGGTGGACCAGACGGAGCCGACATGGCAGCAAAGCAAGCAACCAAACAAGCAATCACATTCATCCAGCTCCCCGCACCGGTCTCGAGACAGGCCATGTGTGAGACTGTGGAGGCAGAGACTGCAGGCGCTGGGCGGGACCTGCCGCTTCCATCGACCGCCAGGAAACGTGGTAAGAAGACCTTGTGGATGAGGCAGGATGGCGAGCCAACGGCAACACTCGAAGCCATCGCGTGGCAAGTACCGTAGGTACCGGCACTGTGCGGTACAGCATGGTCGCAACCACGCCGAGGCAAGTACCTAAGGCCCGTGCTTGACGAGCGCCAAAGCTCCTTTCACGGCTCCTGTGGCTGCAGTTGCAGGCGGCAGGTAGCGAGGCCACGGAGACGGGCGAGCTTGTCCGTAAGCGGCAAGGAGGCGGACCATCGGCACGACTTTGAGCCGCAGGGAGCGGACCAGAGCGCAGGTACCGGTACCTACAGGACCTCTTTCTCGCCATCGCTGATCTCGTGGCGGAGTGGATGGATCGGATCGACTCTCAACCCGATACACCCGCGACGGTCGCCAACCTCACTCTGACCGGGATGGCCCCTTTTGCCACCGGCCGCAACCTGCGGCAGAAGCGGACGGGACCGGACCACACGACGATGGATCAACCCCACGTGTGTCGATGGACACCTTGTGAGCAAGCGAAGGACCGTTCATGGGGGGGTGGACCGACGAACACGTTCGCTCGACCAAAGTCTTGGCGGTGTTGGGTCCAGATGGTCGTCTACAGTACAGTCACGGGCGGAGGGACGGGCGTACAGTGGGCACCTACTGCTTGGTGGTCGAACGGCGGGCAGGTCGAGGATCTTGGCAAGCCATGCTGGGTACGGGGCGGGCCAGGCCAAGAGGGGGCTGCGCTCACGCGAGCAGGCCAGCCTCGGCGTTGGGCGCTGGGATGCAATTTTTACGCCGGCAGGGGGAGGGGCGCCCGAAGAAAGTCGCCGTGCGGACCGGAGCGGGCGAGCGAGCGGCATCATGGCAGACGATGCATGGTCGTGTCGAGCAGAAGCCAGGATTCCGGCAAGCGACGATGACACCGAGCTGCTGCTGGCCAGGAGAGGGTGGGCGGGAGCACGCCTAGACTAACTAGAGCCTGCCTTTGCCAAGGCTGCTTGCCAAGCCTTTTTGACCTTAGCGTCGCTCGCATGTCGACGACTGCCAAACTGCCCGCATCCCGCACCCGCCGCGGCGCGCTGCCAGGAAAACAGGCAGGTGGATTTTCTTGGCGCCGCGTCGAAATCGACGGAAATTGAGCAGGGCAGGGGCATTTTGCCACGCGACCGCCTCCCCCCGATTTCCCCGGTGGCTTCCGCCTCCGCCCCGCGCCCCCTCATCCGCTCCTGCCGGCCTGCCTGCCTGCCGGGCTGGAAGACAGCACGCACTCGTAGCGACGGGCAGTTGCGTTGCCCCTTCCAGGCCTCGTCCCTCTGCCCCTGCCTCCCTCTCGTCCCTCCCCTGCAGCCGCTGCTTGCTTCTGTTCTGCACCGTCGACGACCCCTGCTGCTCGTTTCTTCTCGTCATGCGGGGAGGCGACACCACAACGACGTCAAATCGCGGATCCACGATGGCCGTCCGCCGTCCGACTGGTTCCTGGCTCGCACGTGCGATGCCAAAGACGCTTTCGATGGGCTAAATAGGGAAACGCCCGCCTGTCCTACGTACTACTGTACCCGCCACCAACGAGATCGCGAAGCGGGTGCGCACGAGGATATCCTTGGCAGGCGAAGAACGAAACGCAAGCGGATCGATCCTACGGCAGCAGGCGCTGGAGGGCGGATCCAGGATGCCCGACCCTTGGGCGGCCACGACGCCTCGGACGTTTGCAAGCTAGGTAGAGTCGGTCGGTCTACAGCAACCAACGTCCGCCTCCGCCGCCGCCGACTCGATCCACCTACCGGTCGTTCATTGCCACAGGATCGACGACGGTACAAAAGGGCAAGCGCCGCGACCACTGTCTGACGGTCTGTCCCCTCACCTCACGACACCCTCTGGTCACCTCCGACCCCCTCTCCCTCCTTCCGACCCTAACACCCTCCCCACCGGCCGACGCGGAACCGTCAGAAGTCGCCCAAGATGCCAAAGTACCACGATTTCGACTACCTCTTCGCCTTCTCCATGATCGGTGCCTTTGTCACCTCGTGGGGAATTGGTGCCAACGAGTGAGTGCTGCCTTGCCTTGGGGCTCTTTGTCGCAAATTTGCCCGCGGGCCTCTTTGCTGAGACCATCGTGCGCTCCTCGCTTTTTCCCCCCCTCGCCCTCGCCGCTCCAGTGTGGCCAACTCGTTCGCCACCAGCGTCTCGTCCAAGAGTCTGACGTTCCGTCAGGCGATGCTGGCCGCCGCCGTCTGCGAGTTCCTGGGCGCGGTGCTGGTCGGCGCCCGAGTCGCCTCGACGATCAAGAACGACATCATCGACCTCGATGTCTTCAACGGCAACGCCGCCGTCGCCATGCTCGGCTTCACCTGCGCCATCATCGGCTCGGCCTCGTGGCTCACCTTTGCCACCAGGAACGCCATGCCCGTATCGACCACCCACACCACCGTCGGCTCCGTCATTGGCGTCGGCATCGCCGCCGCCGGCACGGGCGCCGGTGTCCAGTGGGGCTGGGACGGCGTCGCCTCGATCTTTGCCTCGTGGGCCATCGCACCCTGCGTCGCCGGCGGTTTCGCGGCCATCACGTTCCTCTTCACCAAATTTGTCGTGCTGCGCTCCAAGAACCCCGTCAAGATTGGCCTCATCACCGCCCCCTTTTACTTCTTCGCCGTCGGCTGCATCCTGACCGCCGCCGTCATCGTCAAGGGCTCGCCCTCGCTCAACCTCGACGACCTGCCCGACACCACCCTCGCCCCCGCCATCATCCTCACGGGTGTCGGCGTCGCCGGCATCGCCATCACCTTCTGGCTGCCGTACGTGTACAGCAAGGTCGTCAAGGGCGACTACACGCTCAAGTGGTACCACATGTTCATGGGCCCGCTGCTCTGGAGGCGAGCCGCGCCCGCCGACGCCGTCACCGCCGACATGGCTGTGCCCGACTACCGCGTCCACGACTTTGACCACCTCAAGGAGCAGGCCAACCCCGTCGCCGACCGCACCGACGTCGAGGCTAGCGCCACTGAGCCCTCGGGCAACAGCGTCAGCGGCAGCGAAAAGGAGATCTCGCCCGCCGACGAGCCCGCGGCGCACCCGTCGCAGCTGGCCAAGGTCGAGGCCGACCTGGCCCGCGACAGCAACGACGGCGTCATCTCCGGCCGCCCCACCCCTCCCAAGTACCGCACCTTTGACGGCAACCCGCTCGAGCCTTGGAACCTTTACACCATCTTCCGCTACAACGCGCTGCCTTGGCTCTGGTACCAGCTCAGCGCCGGCCTGCGCACCGACATCCACGCCGTCCAGGCGGCGGGCAGCGCCAAGGAGCAGCTCAAGCTCAAGCAAATGCACGACGTGGCAGAGCAGTACGACAACAAGGTCGAGCACCTCTTCTCGTTCATGCAGGTCATGACCGCCTGCACCATGTCGTTCTCGCACGGCGCCGGCGACGTCAGCAACAGCGTCGGCCCGCTCGCCGCCGTCTACTACGTCTGGTCGACGAGCCTGTTCCCCTCGGACAAGGCCGACGTCCCCGTCTGGATCCTCGCCTTTGGCGGTATCGGCATCGTGCTCGGCCTGGGCATCCAGGGGTGGCGCCTCATGTCGGTGCTGGGCAACCGTCTGACGATGCACTCGCCCTCGCGCGGCTTCTCGATGGAGTTTGGTGCGTCGATCACCGTCGTCGTCGCTGCGCTCCTCGGCCTGCCCGTCTCGTCGACCCAGTCCATCACCGGAGCCACGCTGGCCGTGTCGCTGTGCGAGGGCAACATTCGCAGCTTCAACTGGCGCATGCTCGGCTGGATCTTCTTCTCCTGGGTCCTGACGCTGCCCATCGCCGGCCTCATCTCCGGATGCCTCTTCGCCATCATCCTCAACGCTCCCAGCTGGTTCACGCCCCCGCCCGTCCTCTGATCCCGCCTGGCATGGCATGTCTTGTACGATTCAATCTTCCACGATTCCCCCCTCGCACTTGTCACGATTCCCTTCTCGTCCTTTGTCCTAAAAAAGGTAGCCTCGACTTGGCTCGCAATGCATTCGCGTTGTTTAGACTGATCCCAAACTGGTGCTGCTGCTCGGCTGTGCTGTCATGGCTGTCTCGGTAGAGGTAGAGGTCGAGGGGGAGCCAGAGTTGCCGTCTGCGAGAGCATGGCTGATGCTCTCGAGACGGACAAGCAGGCGCCGAGGCGCACGCAGCAACTCGATGATGCTTGCTGCTCTCAACTGCCGCCGTAATGCTCTTGGCAACGGCAGGCAACGGGGCGCTCCAGTCCATCCGGCGCCACGTTGCTCTCTCCCCTGCCTCGCATTTTCGATGCCGTCCGGGTGCGCTGCCGAAACGGCAGCCGTAGCACGGTCTCGTCCGCCCTACCAGCAGGAATGCCGTACGGCCAGCCCGGGGTGGTAGGAGGTGCAGCCTTGCGCTTCGAAGAGTCGCTTCCACCCGGCTTCGCAACCCTCTGCTGGCCGCCATGGTGATACCTCCCACTCAGAAGCGAGCTGCCCTGCGTCGGGTCTCTCGACTCCCTCAAACGAGTGCAAAGCTTCCCGGTGAGGACACTCTGCGTGGGCAGGGACGGTCGAGCGAGTCGAGGGTGTTCATGCCGGCGCGTCGAGGCCGCTCGATTCCAACGCCAGGCCGCTCGGCGCGACGCGGTTCGCATCCATCGATTCCAACTTTGGTCGGTGCGACGCGATTCCCCACCCATCCATTTCAACGCGGGTCGGTGCGACGCGACGCGCGGCTGGGTCGGGTCGGCCAGAGCAGGGCCGGACAGAGCGATGGCGCGACACCGTCGTCGACCACGCGCCTGCAGGGATATCCATCCGCTCCGCGCTCCGCCGCTTCCTCGGTCGTGCCGTTAGCCAGCAGGGTACACTGTAGCAGCGCAAAGACGGCCTGACTGACGATGCAATGGATTGTGAATGACGGGGCGTCCGGGGTTGTTGCCAACGGCCCCGAACGGGGAGGGAGGGAGGGGTGGATGGGTCGTCCAGGGCTGCTGCCAGCTGCCGAGGACAGGATTGCCCAGGGCTGCTGCCAGCTGCCCTGGGCGGGGGAAAGTCTGCTGCCGCTGACTTGGGATTTATTTTGTGGTCGGCTGCCGCCGTATTGCTAGGGTCGATGCCGCTCGTTGTCCTAGTGGGGGGCCGCTGCCGCTTGCCCTGGGAGAAGGAAGAAGGGAAGGAAGGGGGGGAACGGAGGAAGGGTAGGATTATATCCCTTTCGAGCCGGCCGCCCTTGGGCTTGGATCCGGTTTGGAAAACCGCGGGCGGGCGGCCGGCGAGCCTTAAATCCGGATGGAAAATTACGTGCACGCGGGTTTGATCCGCGCCTGCTCTGGCGGGGGACAGGGGCTTAAATCCGTAAAAGAAATTACGTGCATCTCGTTCTGATCCGCGCGCGCTCGCGGTCTGGCAGGGCCAGTGTGGCCTTAGATCCGTGCCTGACTTAATTACGTGCACTCGCTGCTGATCCGCGCTGCGCGCGCCAAATCGCTTAAATCCGGGAAAAAAACTACGTGCTTGTGCCCACCGAGATCAGACGGGGATGCACGTAGTTTTTTTTTCCCTCCCCTTCCTGCAGCGGGCTCTCTGGCCCCTGCAGAGCACGCCGGTGGGCCCCCCTCGGGGAGGGGGGGAAGGACCGGCTGCAAAGGTATATAGGCCTAACCTTCGTCCCTTTTGCTTCTTCCCTTCTCTCCCCTCAGACAGCCGCCTGCGAGCGAGCACACAAAATAATCCCCCAGTGGCTGGCGACCACTTTAAAGATTCGGCCTAAAAAAATCCCTTCCCCCCGGTGGCTGGATCGCCCAAGAGTGGCTGGATCCGCCCCAAGTGGCTGGCGACCACTTTAAAGACTCGGCCTAAAAAAGCCCTTCCCTCCCGTCCTTCGGCGGAATATGTGTTTGTCCCCCTCCGCCTCCCCGAGCTGGAGCGGGGGGATGCCTCTATTTCCCCGCTCCCGCCTCTCCCCAGTGCACGGGGAGGGAAGACTGCTGTTCCGGTCCCGGTCCCGATCCCCCTTCCCCATCCCCTTTCCCTCTCCCGCCTCTTCCTGTCCTCGGACGGGTGGGGTGCCACTTTCCCCCGCTTCCGCCTCCCCCTGTGGACGGGAGGGATGACCGCTTTCCCGATCCCTGGCCCTCTCTCTTCCCTACTGGAATGTGATATCATTTCCCACGCCTCGTTGTCCGGTTGGGTGTGTGTCTGTGCTCGCCTCGTGTCCTCGGTGCCGTGTGGGTCCCCGCGGCTGGCCAGGGAAATATCAGTGCCTCGGCTGCAGCTTCAGTCTGAAATGTGTTTTGCTGCCAAAGTCGAGTTGGCAGTCCACGCGACGCGCCTTGGGCACGGGAGGGCCCAGGCTGGAAGCCAGGTGGAGGACAGTAGAGAGCAACACGCACAGCCCCGGCGCAGCTTTTCGCCCTCGACGCCATCATCGCCTGCCACCACCACCACCATCGTACCTCGACCACCGGCATCGCACACCGTCACCACGAAAGCCACGATCCTTCGCTACACGTCCGACGCTGCCACATCATAGGTAGACCTGGGCCAGGCCGACATGCCAGCCACCGCCCCGGATCGCGGAGACGAGGCCATCTCGGCCGTCGCCCATGCCCTCTCTTCGGGCTCGACTGCTGCGGCGCTAAAAGGCGAGCTCGAGGGCTTGCAGCGCCACGCCATCTCTTACGGCTTCGACGCATCGCAGTGCCAAAGGCTCCTCAACCTCGCGCTCTGCGGCAGCAGCAGCAGGAAGAGGGCCGCGCTCAACCGCAAGCCGCCCAAGGCCAGCGCTGCCGCATCCATCCTCCGGTCCATCGTGCCAGCACCCGGCACCAGGCTCGGCAGCGACCTGGTCTACGCCGTGCTCGCCTGCCTCGGGCCCAACCCTGGGACAAAGGTCGAGGCGGACGCCGGCATATCCACCGTCTCGCGGGACGATCCCGTCGACGAATCCTCGTCCAGCAAGATCGGCCCGGATCGAGTCAAGGTCGACATTCGAGTCCAGGTGGGTCGATTTGGGCGGCAAAGTTCTCCCGTATATGCCCACGCTCCTTGACGGCGCTCCTGACATCCACTCTGCCGGCTGCCTTCGCCCTGTCTCGACGCTGGTCCTCACAGGTTGCGGCCATCAGGCTCTTATGCGTGTTGCTCGACTCGCCTCCGGTGCCGCTCAACCTGGCAGCGACGCTGGAGCCATCTGAAGAGGGCGCGGAGCCAAAGCATCCGAGCGAGCTCGGCGGCGCTCTTCCGACCACGTACCTCACCCTGGCCGCCCGTGCCACGCTGCAGAGGTGCTACGGCGTGCTCTTCCACTTCCTCGACTACCAGGCTCTGAGGTAAGAGATGCCTCCCAGCGCAGACGAGGACCGCTCTCCAATCCCCGGGCAGAGTGTCCTGAACACACCGTGCTCTCCCACTGCCGACGGTCCGCTCGCGCACGACAGACCCCACCTCTGCTACCTGCTGTGCAAGGTGACGAAGCGAAAGCACGTCAAGCACTACCGCATCTCGAAGCTGTGAGTCCGAAGTGCTGCAACGTGCCTCCAGTCCGCGTTCGAGGCTGACAGCAGCCTCTGCCGCCGCCATCCGACACAAGCATGTCGCTGCGGGCCAACTTTGCCGCCGAGACGGGCCTCTCTGCCCTCTTGTCAGTGTACGCAAACTTCTACCCTGATCTCCTCTTCCCCGAGCTCGTCGGCGGGTCTGGCAGTGCATCGAGCGTGGGCTCCAACGGCGTGCCTGGCCTCAAGTTCCCCGACAACGATTGGGTTGGACGCGTGCTGCGCTGTCATGCCAGGCATGCGCGCAGGGCCAACGGCGAAAAGCTCGAGTCCGACAACGATGACGATGACCAGGGCAAGGCGGCGGCCGGGGACCGGGCCAGGCCTGCCAAGCGAGCGCGCGTCTCGCTCGACGCGAGCACCAAGACGAGCACCGAGATTGAGGCCTCGAAGCTGCCTCTGGCCGCGCTTCCCAACCTCGTCACGATCCAGCCGCAGACGTCCCTCAACAAGACGCTCGGGACGTTGCCGTCGCTCATCACGGAGCTGTCGTCGCTGCGGCACCTCGCTCACAGCCTGGATCGGCTGACGCTGCCATCGCAGGTGGCCGCGATGCTGGCGCCGACTTTTGGGGCGCGGCTGACGCGGGTGGCCGTGCTGTCGGGTGCGACCATCACCAACGACGTCTCGCTCAGCCAGGACGGAGCAGTGTCCGACGCCAAGGCCTCTGACTACTGCTGGGTGCGCCTCTCCGACTGGCTCGAGAGCGTGGTGCGCGACGAAGTCGGCCTGGGCCAATCAAAGGCAGGCGCCGAAGGCGGACGCGAGCAGCCTGGGCTGGGGGGCGGAAACCGGATACGGCTGCCCGCGAACCAGTCCGCCCATAACCGCCTGGCGAGCCTGCTCCTGCGGGCCTTGCAGACGTTTGACGTCGCCAACGAGATCCCGTCGCGCTTCGAGGAGACCATCTGCCAAGTGCTGCGGGGCCTGGCCGACGTGGCCGCAGCGCCCTCGTCACCGTGGGACCGCGGTTGGGATGCGCTGTGTGCAGAGATCGTCTCGTTCGTCCCTCTACTGAAGCCCCGATCCTGGATTGGTGAGTCGGATTCCGATGCCGGTTCCAGCGCTTGCACGACTGGCTGACTTTGTTGCCGTTCCTATCGACCGTCTCCAGTGTTCGACGATCTCGTGATCGGACCGCTGCGGCAGCTCTGCCTTGCGCCAGTCTTGGGTGAGACGGCGGTAGCCAACATCGTCGAGGCGCTGGCCAAGATGCTGCAGAGGTGGGCCAAGCGCGACTGGTCGCAGATCGTACGGAGGCTCGACCGCAAAGCGAGCGTGTGAGTGATGTCGGCGGCGGTTCTTTGGAGTCCTGACAGGCGAACGCTGACGATGGAGAGCATCTGCCTCCACAAACCTTGCAGACGCTGGGGCATCTCTGCGCTCGATGAACAGGTCGACTACTTTGAGACCATCTCGCACACGGCGGCGACGCTGGACGGCATGGCGACCGAGGCGCTGCTGCGATACCCGCGCTCGGTCGTCGTCGAGCACGCCGCGCTGTCCTGCTACGAGGTCCTGGCCGGGCCCCTGTGCGGCCTCCACGGCGTCTACATGATATCCCCGCTGGCGTTCTACGCCTTTTCGTGCTGCGCCACGTCGCCGATGCCGCTGTCGAGGCTGGCGGGCCTGATGCAGCAGATGCGGCGCTCGCACGAGGTGCACAAGGTACCGGCGCCCGGCAGGACCGCCGCCAAGCACGACCGCGTCCTCCGTACGCTCCAGGCCGACTACTTTGCAGGCGACCAGGCGGCATCGCTCAACAAGGCCGTCACAGTGCTGGTCAACTTTATCTGGAGGGGCAAGGCGTTTGACGAGGCTCTCGACAACGATGCGCCTCGGCTTGGCTTTGATGAGTGAGTGGGAGCGCCGGTGGTTACCTGCTTGCCCGGCTGTCCGGCTGCTCGCTTGCTGACCTCTCTGGCCGACCTTTTCCACGACGATTGACGCTGAGCAGGGACGTCATCGCCGAGCTCAAGGCGCAAAGCCAGGAGAGGGGCCCGGGGCTGCATCTCTCGTCGTCGATCACGCACCACGCGTGCTTTGCCAACCTCTCTGACCGATTCCTCAACGACTACTGCCGGCGACACGGTACCCCGCGGCGGCAGAAGGGCTGGATCCGCGGGCCGGTGACGCCGCGACTGCTGCAACGGGCCAAGCAGCGCGGCATCCCGGCCGACTGGACGTCGAAAGAGTACCGGCGGCATCTGCTCGACTGGCTGGGCGAGGGCGGGATGCGCGGCCTCGACGACTTTATCAAGAACTCGCTGCGCAACTACCACGCTGCCCCACCGCCGCCGCCGCCCCAGCAGCCGCAGCCGCAGCCGCAGCCGCCGGCCGCCGGGAACGAGGCGTCGGTTACGATGGACGTGTAGTCAGGCCGTATTGTGCGCGTCGCTTTGCATCCAGGTCGGGTGGTCGAGTGCAACCATGTGCGATGTCTTGCGATTGGATTGAGGCGAGGTCGAGGTCCTGTCTGCTCGATGAGGGCGTCGAGGCGTGGCCTCCTATGCCTTGTCTGGCCACGCTGCCGGAGGGACGCGGATGCAGGCGAAGAGGCGGTGAAGCGGCGTGGCGGGCCCCCCTCTCTGCCAGCCTGACCTCCACTTGCCAGCCCTGTGCCTGTGTGGCTTTTTCGAGCTCTCACCGCGACGCGCTGTCCTGTTGGCTGGCCTGGCTGCGCGACTTTTTGGCCTGTGGGCTTGGCTTGGCCTGCCTGGGCCTGCCTGCCTGTTGGCTCGCCTCGAGGGGCCGGTGTTGCGTGTCACTTTCGCCACCTCGGCCGCCGCCACCATCACCACCCTCGACCCTCGCTCGCACCTAGGGCCTCCCTCGCGACGCACCAGCTCCATCACCATAGACCATCATCCCATCCCCCTCCCTTGACCAATCGAATCCTACACCGCACTACCCCGACGATACCCTGCATACCACGTTCTGGATCGCATCGGATCGGAAGCCCCCAATCCCTGCTCTCTGCTGCGCCACCCTTGCTCGCTCGCTCGCCGCCGCCGCCGCCCCTCGCCACCGCCATGCCCATCCCCATCTCATCAACGGGCCAGTCGTACCCGACGGTGCTCGACTACCGCATCGTCCAGCTCATCGGCGGAGGCGGCTTCTCCAAGGTCTTCCGCGCCGTCAACCCGCGCTCCAAGTCGCACCCCGTCGCCGCCATTAAAGTCATCTCGTACGCACCCGGCCGCTCCAACAAGATCCCCATCGACCGCAGAGCGCTCCAGAAAGAGGTGCAGGTCCACTCAATCCTCAAGCACGCCAACGTCCTCGAGTTCCTCGGAGCAGTCGAGAGGGGCCTCGCCAAAAACGGACAGGGCGCCACCGAAAAGGGCATCCTCATGGGCGACGCCGTCGCCACCACCCAGGAGAGCAAGCAGGCCATGGACAAGGAGAGGGAGCGCAAGCAGAACGGCGAAGTCAGGGAGGAAAACTACGTCCCCGGCCTCTACATGGTCCTCGAGCTCGGCGCCGGCGGCGACCTCTTTGACAAGATCGGTGAGCGCCCTCCCTCCTCGTGTCAGGGCAGCGAACGGGTTGGCCCTAGACGGCGCTCTGACCTGCTCCCTTCCTCTTCGCCCGTCTGCGATCATGCATCTAGCCCCGGACTACGGCGTCGAGGAGGATCTGGCCCACTTCTACTTCCTCCAGCTCATGGCAGGGCTCGTGAGTCGCTCCTCGACGCCCCGCCCTGGAGACGAGACCCTCAGACTGACCTATCCTCGATCGTGCGACCGCAGGAGTACATCCATTCCCAAGGCGTCGCGCATCGTGACATCAAGCCGGAAAACATGCTGCTGGACGCAGAGGGTGAGGCGCCGCCCGCATCAGACGGCCGATTGCGCCTATCCGCTCGAGGCAGGGCATACTGACGACGCCACTCGCTCCCCACTGCTGCTCTGCGCCGCACAACAGGCAACCTCAAGATTGCCGACTTTGGTCTGTGCAGCGTCTACAAGTACAAGGGCAAGGAGAGGGAGATGAACGGAGCGTGCGGCAGTCTGCCCTACATCGCGCCCGAGGTGAGCTCGACGAACTTGAGACGCATCTGACGCTTGCACCCGCTGAAAGGTTCCCCTCTGCGACGCACCTCGCAACCCTGGCAACCTCTCACTCTCGCAGATGAACGGCAAGCCATACAAGGGAGAGCCAGTCGACGTATGGTCGTCGGGCGTCGTCCTGTTTGCGCTCCTGGTGGGCAGCACGCCGTGGGACGAGCCGACGTCGCGCTCGCCCGAGTACTGCGCCTACCGCTCCGGCGAGCTGTTCCAGTACGACCCGTGGACGCGCATCCCAGCCGACGCGCTATCGCTGCTCAAGAAGATGATGAACCCGTATCCGGAGAAGCGTATCAGCTTTGAGCGGATCAAGCGCCACCGCTGGTACATGCGGCGCAACGACCTGATCACGCAAAAGGGCCGCTGCAACGACCCCGTCAACCTGGCCGAGAAGCTGCTCCAGGGCCTCGCCGTCTCGGGCGACATCAGCATCGACATCACTGGCGGCGTCGGCGTCGGCGGCGCTATGATCGCCCGCGTCGACCTCCATACCGACGGCAAGCGCGCCGAGATTCCGGAGAACGTGTCGCTGACGCAGCCCGAGGCGATCCAGAAGTCGTCGCTGGGCTTCGGCGCGGGTGGGGCGAGGGACGCGCCGCTGCAGCTGCCGTCGTCGACGGCTCTGCCCTCGCTGGCCGGCGGCGGTGGCGACGATGCCGGAAGGAGGCTCGCAATGAGCCAGCAGATCTCAAATCGCAGGCTCGAGTTCCCGGGCTCGACGGGCCAGCCGGGCAGCTCGGGAGGGGTGCCCGAGGCGAGCCAGTTCACGCAGGCGCTCAACCACTTTGTGAGCACTCCTGGACCCGATCGACGCAGGTGGACAGGCACGATTGCGATGCTGACTGCCGCTGCCGTTCTGTCTCTTCGCTGGCACCCACCTCGCAGACCCAATTCGACTCGCTGGCGACGGGCGGCACGCACGCGCGCTTCTCGCCGCACCTGACGCGCTTCTTTTCGACGGCGGACGCGGCGACGATTACGACGCTGGTGGCCGAGATGCTCGACATGCTGGCGGTGCAGAAGAGCGTGGAGCCGATGGGCGAGGCCGAGGAGATCGAGGAGGCCTACACGTTCATGGTGCACGGCGACACGGGCGACGTCAGGATGAAGGAATCGGGCGGCGGGGACAAGGACAAGGCGCGGGCGGCTTCGCCGGGCAGCGCTGCCGTCGGCGGCAAGGTCAAGATCGGCACGCGTGGAGCACGGATCCGACTGGGGACTATGGACAAGCGCAAGTGCCCGCTGCGGGGCGACGTGAGGATCGAGGTGCTGGGCGGCGGCGGCGGCGGCGGAAGCGGTGAGCGCCACGAGGACGGTGGAGCGAGCCGGACGGCGCAGTGCCTGGTGATTATGAGGCGGAGCAAGGGCGATCCGCTCGAGTGGCGTCGGCTCTTCCGCGAGATCTGCAAGCAGCCCGCCATCCGCGAGACGATTGTCTCGACGTGACGTGGACCGGGTCGAGGCTAGGCCAGGCCAGGGCAGGCACCGCACTGCCATGGACGCCCCCTCTCGCCGCAGCTACCGTGCCAGCCCACCGTGGCGCGGCGCGAATGTAGCACGGCTGTATTTGTAGTAGGCCCTCTTCCTCTCTCTCTCTCTCTCTCTCTCTCAGCACTGTTGTCTCCTCTCATGCTTAACGAGCGTCGAGCGCGTGCGGAGCCAAGTCCCTGTAAAGGTAGGGGCGGTGGTGCTGCTACGGCGGAGAGGAGCGAAGATGGAACACAACGTGGCCGAGGGCCGGGCCCGGCCTTGGGCCTGTCGGTGGTCTATTTCGGGACCGGCCGTTGAAGCATCGTCGAGACGGATAGATGGACGGCGTGCATACGTACGTGCTGTTGCGTTGCGGTTTGGCTGGCTTGAGCCCCTGCCTCACCTGGCCCTCTTCAGGGGCCGCCGACAGCGTAGGCCGGCCTCGCTGAAAACGGCGGCCGGAGGGAGGGACGAGGCCGGGGGACGTGGCTCGGGTGGCTGGGCTCGGATGTAGCCTGGCCGTGCGCCCGCTGCTTGCAGCCGTGCGTAGAGGCAGGCTAGGCTACCCTTATGTAGGCCTGTCTGCTGGCCTGTGGCAGGGCGCCGGCGCGAGGCCTAAACGCAAGCAAGGACGTCTGATGCAATGAGGTGGACGAGCTGTGCCTGCAGCTCCACATCTGCTTGATGCAGCCTGGCCTGCCTCAACCCTGCCTGTGCGCCGCCGCTGCCGCTGTTGTCGCCGCCGCTGCTGCTGCTGCTGCTTTTCCCTCACGAGGCGAGCAGGCGAGCCGGCTGGGCAGCAGTCTGGGCAACAGCTGGGCTGGGCTGGCTCGGCGCCGCCTGCTTTATGGCCTGCTCTGCCTCTGACCCCCTGATTGGCCCGAGCATCGCCACCATCGCTACGACCACCACCGCCACCCTCACTATCACTGTCATCCTCACTGCTTCGACCCAGTTTGATCGCCTCGCAGCTCAACAGACTCTCGCCCGCAAACCACCGCGCGGACCTAACCCAACTCATACCCCGGACCCCCCACCCTCAGCAACAAACATGGGCGCCGAAGAAGAGGTCGGAGCCGCCGTCCCCGCCGACCAGAAGCAGGGATGGGGTCAGGTGAGTGCAAAGCGCAGCCCAGGCAGACGCCGCCATGACCGCATCTGCATCCTGCTGCTCGGGACGTGTTCGCTGACCCCTCCGTATAACCGACGTAACCCGTCCGCTCGCTCGCTCGCCCGCCCGCCCCGCCATGCAGTTCCTCAAGTCGATCGCCACCTTCTCGGGCGACCTCTCGTCGATGACGGCGCCCTCGTTCATCCTCTCGCCCGTCTCGCTCGTCGAGTTCCCCGCCTACTGGGGCGAGCACCCCTCCCAGTTTGCCGAAATCGCAAAGGGAAAGGACGAGGTCGAGCGCATGGTCCTCGTCCTCAAGTGGTTCATCGGAACCCTCAAGGGCCAGTTCACCGCGCGCAACACGTCGATGGGCAGCGAGAAGAAGCCCCTCAACCCCATCCTCGGCGAGCTCTTCCTCGGAAAATGGGGCGACAAGGACGGCAGGGGCGACACCACGCTCGTCGCGGAGCAGGGTGAGTGTGCCGGCAGACTGGCCGACAGAGCGTCGATGGAAATAGGCAAGGCAGAAGTCTACCTACGAGGCGCGGAAGCGTGCAGGGCTGACGAGGACGCATACCCCTTTCTATGACCGCCAACCCCCAGTCTCGCACCACCCGCCCATCACGGCGTACCACATCGAGAATGCAAAGGCCGGCGTCACGCTCGAGGGCCACTGCGCGCAGAAGACGTCGTTTAGCGGACGCGCCATCAACGTCAAGCAGGTCGGCCACGCCATGATGCGCGTAAAGACGGCGTCGATGGCCAACGAGGAGCTCTACCTCATCACGCTGCCCAACCTCGTCATCGAGGGCCTGTGGTACGGCAGCCCCTACGTCGAGCTGACGGGCACCTCGTACATCCAGTCGACGTCGGGCCTGCTCACCACGCTCACCTACACGGGCAAGGGCTACTTTTCAGGCAAGTCGCACTCGTTCAAGGCGTCGATCGGCGCCGGCGGGAGCTCGCTGTACAACATCGAGGGCGAGTGGGCGGGCGTGAGCAAGTACAAGGGCAAGAGCCTCAGCGGCGGCAAGGACGACGTCTTTTGGGACGCCAACACGCCGCGCGAGGAGATCCACGTCGACGACGTCGACAGCCAGGGCGACATGGAGAGCCGCAAGGTGTGGAAGACGGTGGCCAACGGCATCCGGACTGGCGACTACGACACCGCCAGCCGCGACAAGGCACGGATCGAGGTGAGTGGCGGGCGCATGCTCCAGGCCCCGGCTCTCTTTCTGCGCGGCACTCGCAGCACTTCCCGCTTTGTGTCCATCGGGCGCCGAGGCGAAAGCAGGACCAGTCTGACCTTGTGCTTCTACCACACCTTCGCTGCCCTCTCGACCCGCGCCGCACGACGACAGAACGAGCAACGCAACAAGCGCAAGGACGAGGCGGCCAACGGCACGCCGCACCAGCTCGAACACTTTGTCCACGTAGACGACGACCAGGAGTACCGGCAGCTGGCGGCCAAGTTTGGCGGCAAGCCCGCCAACGAGGACGCGTATAGACGCAAGCCCCGCGTCCACTAACTAGACTCGCCCCCCGCTCCCCGCCCTTCGCCCTTGTCCCTTGGCGCCCAAGGGGCACGCCCCGCCGCACACAGGAACGATGGCTGTATATCTGGATCGCTCGGGAAAGCCGTAAACGTCGATGAACATTTGCGATGTAGCCGCCGTCGCCGTTGCCGCCTCTCGTGTGTCCTCGAGGATGAACGGATGGATGGAGCGGCGTACGATGTCCGCGACGAGAGAGTCTAGGTATACAAGGAATACAGGACGGAGGTGGGGCGGAGGGTCCTCCGGGCGAGTCGACGAGCCGAACGGCGACCACCACGCCGCATCATGCCGCTGCTGGAGAGTGTGATGCACTCTTGTCGCCATCCACCACGGTTCCGCCTTCCACCTTCGAATACGGCGGCAAAGGCTGCTGCTGCGACGACGACGACGACGACGGAGGTGAAGAGGACGACGGAGGAGGCTTCGACTGCTGCTGCTGCTGCTGCTGCTGCTGTTCGCGCAGGTCCTTTTCGACTTCGGCGACGGCGACGACGTGCGAGAGGCGGGTACGTGCCAGGCTGCGCGCAAACTGGCGCGACCACTCGAGTTCCGCCGTCGTGGGCTCGCGCTTCGTCTTGGGCGTGTCCACTGCCGGTTGACTCGACTTCTTGGCCCCAGCAGCGGCAGCAGACGCGGATGCGGATGCGGCGGCTTGTTGGATCGTCGTTGTCGTTGCGGCTGGTGTAGGGCGGAGAGGCCGTAACCTGCCAAAAGAACGACGGGGACGGTGGTGCGCGGGTGCAAGGGGATGGGGTGAGCGGCCGACACACTCACTTCCCTTTCTCTCTGCGTCTCTCTTAAGGACGAGAGGCACGGTTGATTGACCACGACCTCTTTTCTCCGGGATGAAGGAGGGAACGAAGGGCAGTCACTCACTCTACGGCGACGCCGCGCGCGCTCTCGAACGCCGAGCGTTGGGCGAGCTGGTCGATCTGCGACGCCATCTGCTCGAGCGCCCTCACCTCGTCGGCCGGCCGCGCGGGCTGCGGGCCCGTGGCCAGGGCCGAGATGACGGGCGCCAGGTGCTGCGTTGCGAGGAGGAGGACGGTGAAGAGCTCGTGGAGGAGGTGGATGAGGTCGTGCTGCGTCCAATTGGGGAGGAGGACGCGCACCACCTCCGGCATCGTGGGCGAGAGGAGGAGCCGCAGCTCGACGGTGAGGAGCGCCAGGAGCGCAGAGAGGCGCCACTGGTCGTCGGCGACGGGAGAAGGTGCGAGGTGTAGAAGCGATCGGGCATCAGTCAGCGAGCGATCCAGAAGGGGCAGCCTGACCCTCGATCGAGGGGATGTCGACTCACAAAGTGAGGCACGGTGTTGTGCCCGCCGAGATAGGTCACGACGGTATAGACGACCGGGTTGACGATGTAGAAGCCGACGCAGCGCTGCAGTCCGCGCACCATGTACTCGCGCAGGGTGATGCAGTCGCGCCACTCGGTCACCTCCGGACCAAAGCTATCGTCGTCGTCGTCAGAGGAGTTCGGATGGACTTGAAGGTTTAGGAACGTCGAAAGCAGCGCCAGCGATTGGGCAGGAGAGGGGGGCCCTGCTGACCGACCAGGCTGGCCAACTCACCGATCGTAGGCGAATCGCTTGCCCGCGTCCTGGAGCGCATCGTGGGCTTTACGGAGGAGGATAAAGTACGCTTCTCCCTGCGGCCCGACCTTGTCCGGGTGGAACCTGCGCGCGAGGGCGCGAAATGCGCGCTTGACGGCCTCGCCCTCTGGGTCGACGTCGAGGGGCAGGCCGAGGATGCCGTAGTAATTGCGCGGCGCGGCAAGGATGGCGTGCGAGAACGAGTAGAGGCCGTACGAGACGATGACGGCCGCCTGGACAGTCTGGGTGTGGAAAAAGGCCGAGCGCGGGTTCGTGGGGCGCGAGAGGATCGACGAGTTGTACAGCACCCCAAGCACGAGGCGCGTCAGGAGCGTGGGGAGGATGGCCCACGACAAGATGGGCGCCAGCGTCGAGCTGCCCGATACCACCGACCACATGGCGGGGGGGTTGTTGCCGTGCTGGCGGAGTGGCGAAGGTAGCGATGCGGGGATTGGGGACGGTCGAGGAGGACGATGAGGAGCAGAAGGACGAGGAGCAGGAGCAGGGCCAGGTGGTTGGTGTTGCTCTCCTCGACGTCAGGCCAGGCCAGGCTGGTTCCCTGCAAGCCGGCGGTTGCTCTTTCCCCGCGCCTCGCCGTCTTCCGAGGCACGCCTGGCCAGGCTCCCTCGATCCGTGCTGCCCCGTCAGCCTGACATAAGCTGGACCCGGCCCCTCCAACTTTTTTGGCCGCGAAGCTTTGAATTTTTCGACTTGGCCAGGGCCCGCCTCTCTGTGGGCTGGCTGGCTGGCTGGCTGGTTGGCTGGTTGGCTGCACCTGCTTGGCCTCCTCGACCACTCTGACACCACCTCGCCGGCCGCTCACCACCCTCCCCCGATCGGCCTGCTAACTCCTTATCATCACCATCGCCGGACATGCCGCCAAAGAGGTCTGCAGCGCCCAAGAAGGCCGCCTCGGCAAAGACCGGCTTCAAAGCCCAGTCCAAGGCCAGAAACGTGCAGTCAAAGGCCAGCCTCAAGAAGCAGAAGAGCAAGCAGCAGCAGCGCAGGCCCCGCGATAGGGAGAGCGGCGCTGCAGGCGACGGCGAAGAAGGCGACTCGGACGAAGAGAGCGCCATCAGCGACTATGCCGACAGCGACGAGGTGTCTCAGGTCTCTTCGGACGACGACCGCCAGGACGACGGCGACGACGATGCCGCCACCGACGACGAGCACGCCGATGCACCGCGGGCAAAGAAGCCAAAGACTGTCGCTGCTTCCAGCTTCGCCTTCCTCACCAATCTCGAAAAGGACAAGTCGAAGCCGCTGACGAAAAAGGAGGAGAACAAGCTGCACGCCAAGCGCAACAAGAACGACAAGCTCGAGCTCGCAGAGGCGAAGAAGCGCATCAAGGCAGAGCAGCACGCCGCACGGCTCAGGGAGCAGGAGGAGGAAGAGGCGGAAGAGGAGGGCTTGTCGGACCTCAGCGGCATGTCGGACCTCGACGAAGAGGACGACGACCTTGACCAGCAGTCGATCGGGTCCGAGGACTGGGAGGAGCACAGCGACGTCAGCGAGGGCGAGGCGGTCGAGCAGAGCGACGACGAGCGATCCGACGAACCGACAATAGCGGCCAAAGGCAAGAAGAGGAAGGCGGGCCAGGACGACGACGACGAAGGCGACGACGACGAGGCTCGCGTTCTGGAACGGCTACGAAAGAGGAAGGCACGCGAGGAGCTCGAGGCGCTCAAGGCGAAGGAGGCCAATCGCAACAAGCGCCTCCCCATCCGGACGGCCGACGGCCAGATCGTCGAGGCCGACGAGAGCTCCGACGACGACGCAAACACAGCTCCCGATGCGCGGCCAGAGCATCGAGACGGGGACGACGACATGGACGGCCTTGATGAGGATGACGGGGACGACGACGCGGAGGAGGCAGCACACAAGGACAGCCGCGCCGTCCACGCACCGCTGCGCGAGGACAGTCCATCATCATCGCAGGCCGCCGAAGAAATTGAGGCAAGGGCGAGGGCCAACGCCACGCCTCACTCCTCGATGCTACATTCGACGAGATTCAACTTGACGGCCCCCTACGAGATCTGCCTCCTCGGCTTCACACCGCCCTCTGCGGCCGCCGCCGTCAAGGGCAAAGCCAAGGCCCAGGCCAAGGCCGAAGCCAACGCCGCCGCCGCCAGGCGCATGCAGATGATCCAGCTGGCGAGGAACCAGATCGCCTCGCTCGCCTCGCAGATTGTGGCCGATCCCGAGGTCAGCCTCAACCTGCTGCGGAGGCTGGCCGTCTTCTCGGAGCGCACGGTCCAGCCCCCGCCAGAGCAGGTGGCGCAGATCAAGATGGAGCAGGCGCAGTACAAGAAGCTGGTCGCCAAGCACGGAGGCGTCGCACCGGCCGGCGCAACTCCGCCGAGGCCGCTCAAGGTGCAGATTGACCCGGCGATCCGCCAGCTCTCGCTGCTGTCGATCCTCGCCGTCCTGCTCGACATCCTGCCGGGCTACCGCATCCGGTCGCTTTCGGAAAAGGAGCAGGAGGAGCAGGTGGGCCAAGAAGTGGCGCGACGCCGCGAGTACGAGCAGGGGCTCGTGTCGACCTACCGCGACTTTCTCGAGCTGTGCGAGCAGGAGGTCAAGGACCGCGACTCGCCGCTCCATGCCTCGGCGCTGCGGTGCCTGACGACGCTGGCCACGCGGGCGACGCACTTCAACTACCGCGACAATGTGCTGCAGTGCGTCGTGGCGCGTATGAGCCGGCGGCGGTGGGGCAAGGACGAGGAGAGCTGCTACGAGGCGCTGGTCGAGGTGGTGCGCGAGGATCGGCAGGGCGCCGTGTCGTACGAGGTGGTCCGGCTGATCCACCGTATGACCAAGGAGCGGCGGTTCAAGGTCAACTCGCGCGTCCTCGACATCCTGCTCGAGCTGAGGCTCAAGGACGAGCTCGGCACCAAGCGCGCCAGCACCGAGACGGCGTCGGACCCGGTTAAGGAGGCCGAAAAGGAGCGCCAGGAGCGGGAGCGCAAGCGCATCCAGAACAAGGTCGGCAAGGGCAAGGCGACGCCCAAGGAGGTGCGCAAGGGGCTCGGCCAGCACCTCAGCAAGAAGCAGAGCAAAAAGATGAAGGAGCTCAAGGCCATCGAGGCCGAGATGAAGGAGGCCGAGGCCACCGTCGACCTCCAGGAGCGTGAAAAGCACCAGACCGAAACCCTCAAGCTGCTCTTTGTCCTCTACTTCACCATCCTCAAGGCGCCGATCGGTTCGATCCCGCTCCACCTGCTCGGATCCGCCCTCGAGGGCCTGTCGCGCTTCGCCCACCGCGTCAACGTCGACTTTTTCCGCGACCTGCTGGCCGTGCTGCGCGTCCACATCACCGAGGCCCGGAAGCGCGTGCAGAGCGACGTCGACCGCTTTGCGAGCCTCGACCGGCTGTCGCAGAGCAAGAAAGCTGGCGACGACAACGCCGAGTCGAGCGACGAGGAGGACGCGCCCTCCGACGTCGAGGGCGACGGCGGCGACGAGGAGGAGCGACGCGAGAGGCGGGAGCAGAGCTCTGACCTGGTGCACCGCTCGATCCGCCACGCGCTCCTCTGCCTCAACACAGCGTTTGAGCTGCTGAGCGGCCAGGGCGACGTGCTCAATTTGGACCTGTCGGACCTGACGACGCACCTCTACGCGCTGATGCTGCCGCTCTCGACGCTGCCGGACCTGGAGCAGGATCCGGACTCAAACAACCCGTACAGCTTCGGCGCCAAGCCCGAGGTCGACACCAAGCGGGCCGTGTACGGGCAGGAGAAGCGGTCGATCAAGCACAACACACGCAAGACGCTTGCCGACCTCCTGTTCCGCTCGCTCGACCTGGTCCTCCTCTTCCCGCCGCCGCGCTCGATCCCGATCGATCGCTCCGCGTCGTTTGTCAAGCGGCTGTGCATCATTGCGCTGCAGCTGCCGCCCGCATCGGTGCAGCGCTCGCTCAAGCTGGTGGCCAAACTGATCGCACGCGAGGACCGGCTGCTGGCCCTGGTTGACACGACGGACCGCGCAAAGGACGGCGTGTACGACCCCGTCGCCGCGAACCCGGATGCCACGGCCGGCGGCGTGCTCAAGTGCGGAGAGGTGCTGTGGGAGCTCGAGGCGCTGAGGCGGTGCGGCAACCTCGAGGTGCAGGAGCTCGTCGACCGCATCCGCAACCTCGGCGCGCAGAAGTGAGGCGGCGTGGAGCAGCGCGACCTTCGGATGTATTTGTAGCAGCGAGTGTTGGGTTGATAACAGAGCAGGAGCAAACCATGTTGCTCCAACGCATCCTGCAGCGCAGTCGACGGCAGGTGATGGTGTCTTGTTGTCGTGTGCCGGGAGAGGAGAGACGAGGCGCGCGGGGTGGGTGGAGGAGGCGGGCGAGGTCGGGTGCCGTCGGTCGAGAGGGCGGGTGAGGGGATCAGCCAAAGCCAGGCCCGCGAATCCAAAAATTTGAGGCGGGCGAGAAGAATGCCGGGTCCGCCAGGCGAGGTCAAGGCCGGCCTTCCACGCCCTTCGACCCTTTGCACACCATCACCCTCGCCATCACCTCGCAGCACGCCACCCAGCTCCCGCACCCGGTTCATCGCATCGCGCACACGAGACGCACACAGCATCCTACCAGGATCGCCACCGACCCCGTCACATTCCCAATCGTATCGACCGCCGCTCGCACTTTGCGTTGGACGGACCGCCACCCACAGCAGCAGCAGGGACAGCAGCAGCAGCTCGCACCACATCATTTGACCAGGACCAGCAGCGGATAACAGTACCACCATGGTGAGTGGATAGGCGTTGTTGCCAAAACGGCAGCGCGGCCCGTACGCTTGGGCCGCTTGCGCTCGCTTCGAGACCTGTCGCTGACCTCTGGCGGGTCGCTTCTGTCACCCCTCGCACTCGTCCGTCAACCCCTTCGCCACCGATCGCAGTCTCTCCCAAAGGTGCTCGCGCAGATCCTCTTTGTAGGAACACAGATTGTGGGCAAGGCCCTGGTCGAGGCGGGACGGCAGGCGGGACGCAACGCACGGGCAGGACGGGTCGAGGCGGCGGCGGCGGCGGGCGGCGCCTCGGGGACGGGGACGGGCTCGCCCTCTGATGCGCTCACGCGGTCGCACCGCATGACGCTCGACGAGGCCAAGATGATCCTCAACCTCAAGCAGGACGTCTCGTACGCCACGTTAGTCTCGGGCGCCGCCAAGGCGGGCGCCAACGACGAGGCCAAGTCGCTCCTCGACCAGGTGCGCGAAAACATGGTCAAGAACTACGACCACCTCTTCAAGACCAACGCGCCACCCGCGCCCAAGGGCAAGGAGGGCGGCGGACAGGGCAGCTTCTACATCCAGTCCAAGATTGTCCGCGCAAGAGAGAGGATCGAGGCCGAGTGGAGCCTGGGAGAGCAAAAGGGCGCACCCGAGGGCGAGGCCAAGCCCGACTCGTCGGCGAGCGCCGAGCAGCCCGAGCAGCCAAAGCAGTAGCCGCCTTGTAGCGCCAGGCATCCTTCTCTCTTCCGCGCCTCCTCACGACACCCTCGTTGCCGTCCGCGCTTAGCTCCGGGCGTCGCTCTCGGCGATCGACATGGGCAGTCCGCTCGCAACACCACTTTTCACGCAGTCTCTCGCTCTCTCTGTCTCTCTCTCGAGACCCCGGCCCGTCCACCACTGTAATCTTAGACCGACCCGGTTCGTGTGAACGCAACCTACATTGCAGCAGAGAGAGAGTCAACAGAGCCGTGATCCTGCTCATGAGCGGAGGTGGCGCAGGGGAGTGGGGCAGTTGATGCGCCTCCTGAAAAGGCACAGAGAAAGGGTCGAGTCGAGTCGAGTCAAGTTGGCCCGGCCCCTGCCCGCCCGCCCGCTCGCCTGACGGGGAAAAAGCCAAAGAAGGCTCACACTCTGCCAGGCAGCATCCAACCCCTTCTCGAAGCGCGGGCAGCAGGGGCGGTCAAGGAGGGTGGAGCTCTCCCCACTACTCGCTACCACCACCACCGCCCCTCCCTCCACCATCGCCATCGGCAGCGCCTGCACTCGAGCCACAGGAACGGCTCCTTCACACGACTCTACTAGACATCGATAGAGGCGCAGACCCTCCCTGCCAGTCGCCCGACGGTCTTGACCGGCGCTTCCTCACCCCGCAACCTCTCGCCTGTCCCCATCCCGTCCCCTCACCTCGCCGGATCACCGCCAACATGGCCTCGCCCTTTCCCGTGGCGCTCCCCGTCTCGGAGACGAGGGCGCACAACGACTCGCCCTCGGTGCTCATGAAGGTCACCACCGAGACCTCGGCCAAGAACCAGAAGATCCTGCCGCAGCAGGGCGAGCCCAACATCCTCGTCACCTCGGCGCTGCCCTACGTCAACAACGTGCCCCACCTTGGCAACATCATCGGTTCCACCCTCAGCGCCGACGTCTACGCCCGCTACTCGCGCACGCGCAACCGCAACACGCTCTACATCTGCGGCACCGACGAGTACGGGACGGCCACCGAGACAAAGGCGCTCGAGGACGGCGTCACGCCGCAGCAGCTCGTCGACAAGTACCACGCCGTCCACGCAAAGGTCTACGAGTGGTTCCAGCTCGGCTTCGACCACTTTGGCAGGACCACGACGCCCAAGCAGACCGAGTGAGTGAGGCCGTCGCCGGAAGTCGGTGCGTTGGGGCTACCCGGTCCCGCGCGCGTACTCATGGCCCCCTCTCCCCCTTTCCTCACCCCTCCCGCTCTGCTTCATCTCCTTCCATCCTATCGTGCGCAGGATCGCTCAGGACATCTTCCTCAAGCTGCACGAGAACGGCTACCTCGAGGAGAAGAGCATGACGCAGCTCTTCTGCGAGCAGTGCACGCGCTTCCTGGCCGACCGATACGTCGAGGGCATCTGCCCCAAGTGCGGGTACGACGATGCGCGCGGCGACCAGTGCGACAAATGCGGCCAGCTCCTCGACGCCATCGAGCTGGTCAAGCCGCGCTGCAAGGTGTGCTCGTCGGCGCCCATCCAGAAGGAGTCGCGCCACATGTTCCTTCGCATCGACAACCTCCAGCCGCTCACGGAAAAGTGGGCCCGCGCTGCCGCCGAGGCCGGCGGCTGGTCGTCGAACGGCCGGCAGATCACCGAGAGCTGGTTCCGCGAGGGGTTGCGGCCCTTTAGCCTGACGCGCGACCTCAAGTGGGGTGTGCCCGTCCCCATCAAGGGCATGGAGGACAAGGTGCTCTACGTGTGGTTCGACGCGCCCATCGGCTACCCGAGCATCACGGCCAACTACACCGACGACTGGCAGCAGTGGTGGAAGAATCCGGACAACGTCAAGCTCTACCAGTTCATGGGCAAGGACAATGTGCGCTTCCACACCGTCATCTTCCCGTCGTGCCTGATCGGCACAAAGGAGCCGTGGACCATGCTCCACCACATCAGCACCACCGAGTACCTCCAGTACGAGGGCGGCAAGTTTTCCAAGTCGCGCAACGTCGGCGTCTTTGGCGACAAGGCGGGCGAGCTCGGCCTGTCGCCGAGCGTGTGGCGCTACTACCTGCTGGCCAACCGGCCCGAGACGGCCGACAGCCAGTTCGCGTGGCGCGACTTTATCGCCCGCAACAACTCGGAGCTGCTGGCCAACCTGGGCAACTTCTGCAACCGCGTGCTGACCTTCATGAAGAAGTACGACCTCACCGTGCCCGAGATCCCTGCCGGTTCGGAGCTGCGGACGTACAAGGAGGGTCCCCTGGTGGCGGCGCCCCCCGCCGGCGAGGACGGCTCGGCGTCGGTGATTGCCAAGTACGTGCGCGACGTCAACGCGCTGCTGGCGCAGTACATCGAGGCGATGGAGGCGGTCAAGATCCGCTCGGGCCTGCAGCACATGATGGCGCTCTCGGCGCGCTCGAACCTGTTCCTCGTCGAGATGGGCTTTGACAACACGCTCTTCACCGAGCGGCGCGAGCAGTGCGACGAGGTGATGCTGGTGACGCTCAACGTCATCTGGCTCCTGTCGGTGCTCATCCACCCGTTTATGCCCGAGACGTGCGACTCGATCCTCAAGCAGCTCGACGCGCCGCCGCGCGCCGTGCCCGACGACGGCCGGTTCCAGCTGGACCTGCTGCCCGGCCACCGGATCGGCAAGGCGGCGCACCTGTTCAAGCGCATCGACGAGGCGGAGGAGGACGTGTGGCGCGCCCAGTTTGGCGGGTCGAGCGACGCCAAGGACGCCGCCAAGGCCGACGCGCCCGCCATGTCCAAGAAGCAGGCCATGAAGGCGGCCAAGGCGGCCAAAAAGGCGGCCGAGGAGAGGAACAAGGTCGTGGTCAAGAACAAGACGCCCGAGCTGCTCGACCTCGAGGCGCGGGTGGCGTCGCAGGGCGACCGGGTCAAGCAGCTCAAGGATCAGACGAAAAAAGAGGCCGAGGCCGAGCAGAAGCAGAAGCTGGAAAAGGAGACCGAGACGGAGCTCAAGGCGCTCCTCGAGATGAAGTGAGTGGGCTGGGCTTCCCGGAAGCGTGCAAGCCCGCGGAACGATGCGCACGGATAGAAGAGGACCGAAAGCTGACCGCCCATATTCGCTCCCTCTCTATCTTTGACTCTCTGCGACGACAGGACTGAGCTGTCCGAGCTGACGAGCCGGCTAGCCAAGCTCGAGATGGACGCCGAGGTGCCTGCGTCTGCACCCGCACCGCAGTAGCCGCGGCAGTGTCGCAGAGTGCAGCAGCGTGGCAGCGGCGCAGCGACGGAGCGGCGGAGCGGCGGTCGCAGCTAGTTTCATACGTCAGCCTGGGCCCTCTCTGACTCTCTCAATTCGCCGTCGTCCTCCTGCCGCTCGCCGCTCCGACTACCTGACCTTCGATCATTTCCGACCAGCATCCGGAGCGGGTCGCAAGATCCCTCCCCAAAGAAGAAAAAAAGCATCCTGCATGGCTCTCTGGAGAAAAAGCATCAGTACGACAGCGTGGTTGCGTCCGTCCGTCGTGCCCGTGTCTCTCTTTGTGTCGGCCTAGATCTCGTCTGCCCCAGCCGGCATGGTCCATTCCCTCCGCTGCCTTGCAAGACGGGCGACGAGGGATAACGAGAAGCCGAGAGGCGAGTGCAGGCGGTATCGAATCGAAACGGATGCTCGTGGATCTGGACGACCTTTGATTGCATCGCCTTGCAGAACAACTACGACGTCCTCGCCTCGCCTCGCCTTGCCTTGTGCTTTATCTGAACAAGGAGGCCGGTGGCTGCAGCGAAGAGGCAGAAAAGAGCCCGCTAGCCTAGAAGGCGTTGTCGGCGGGGTGGGTCTTGTCCTCAAAGTACGAAGCGATCTGAGGCGCGAGGTGCATTGGAGAGGGGCGAAATGGCAGAGTTAGGCCACCAGAGAGCCACATCGAGGTAGAGCGGGACGAGGCGAGCGGGAGGGCACCGCAGGCCTACTTACAAAGGGCATCTTGATGAGGACGTCGTGCTTGAAGATGGGCACGTTGCTCATAAAGAGCATGACGGCGCCGGCGCCGGCACCACCCCAGAGGGCGAGGGTTGGCCCCCACTTGACAAAGGTGCTCGGGGTACTGCAGAGGTCGTCGCAGGGGTGGTAGTTTATGGCGGTTCGTCTGGGTCAACTATCCACTGCTGGTTGCATACGAGGAGCAGCGAGTAAGGGGAGGCTGGCACTCACATGCGTCCGACGTGCGGATTGAAGTTGGGCTGGGCCCGGAGCGCCAGAGGAGTAGGTCGGAATGCGGGCATGTTGTGCGTGTATGCGTGTGTGCGCGTGTGTGGCTAGGTTGTACGGAGAGTAGGGATAGGGTGTGGGCGAGGCGGTGGTGGCGATGAGAAGAAGCAAGCCAAGTGATGTCGGCGATGGCCTGCCTGCTGCCCCCCCGATGTTCCGAAGCGGGCGGGCGTCGGTCGGCGGGCGTGGCTGGGCTGGCTGATGGGCTGGCCTAGCGGGCTGGCTGGCTGGATTTCCAAAGTTCCAGGACTGAGGCCGGCACCCCACGCCGCTCCCGAGTCTTTCCGTCGGTGCCGAGCGATGGTGGTTCTCTTTCGGACCCGAAAATGAGGCCGGGCCGCGCATGCCACGGGCGGCGGCCAGTTGACTTGGACCCTGACCTCTGTCTGGGTTGGCCCAGCTCGACTGGCTGGCCTGGCCCCGCGAACGACGTTATCGTGCTGGCCTGCATGGGTTGCTGTGCTGCGCCCCCAAGCCTCCACACGCCAGGAGGGGCGCTCAGGCTGGGTTGGGGGGGCCGACCCCTTTTTGGCGCGGGGCGCCTCAGCCCGCCTGGCCTGGCCTGGCCTGCCTCTGGCCGACGTCGTCCTGGCCTGCCTGCCTACCGCGCTCGCACGCCCATCAGCAGCTTGCCCGCGTGATAGAGGCGACGCTGGTGCTGTCCTGGCCTCGTCCATCACACCATCACCATCACCAGCACCAGAAATCCACCCCCACTCTCCCCATCCCGTTCAGCTTTGCCCCCATCGCCGCACCCGTCGCCGTCAGCACTGTCATCCACGCCGTCACACACCACCGCTCGCCACCACAACAATCAGCAGCAGCAGCAGCACCACCACTACCACCACCTCGTGCCCTGCCTCGTCTCCCCCGTAATCGCTCCCCCGCTCTCTCGTTCTGGCTCCGCGCGCATACCGACAGCGGATCCTCGGCACACCTGCTCATGCACCAACACCAGCCCTGACCGCAGCCAGCGGATCGCATCGCTGCACATCGCGCCCATCTCGAGGCGGGCCACCAGCAAACGACCATCCAGCTCGCCCACTCCGTCTCGAGCATCTCTACAACGGCCCCTACCTGCTTTCTGTCCTCAACGACCTTGTTCTTCCCGTCCTTGAGCCTTGCTGATCCCCTCGAGAGCATCTTGCTCAACGTGACTCGGTCAGCCAGAGTCGCAGCTGCCGTCCTCTCGCCCTTTGCGGTGACCCATCCCGGTCGAGTCATCGCCTGGCCTGCTCCCGTCTACGGCCCCTCCCGGCCTCCAACCGACACTTTGACGGGCCATTCCATCACGCCTACATTCCGGCTATCCGCTGCCGCTCCTCGACACCAACTGGGCCCGCCCAGCGAGCCAGTCCGACAATGGCCTCCCTCTCGACCTACGCATCCCGCTTCCTCGCCTCCGGTCTCGGCGCATCCATCAGACCAGGCCAGATCGATGACACTGCTACCGACGCCTCCCAAGAGCCCCTCTTCTACGGTCAGGCGTCCGTCACTGGTGCCCCCTTCTCCCATGACCGCAACGACCCGTACGGACCCGAGTACAGCCTCTCGAGCTCCGACGGATTACCGCCAGCGCCATCCGTCCATAAACACCACGGCAGGCCCGTTCACCAGAGCGGGCTGCTTCACAGCCTGACTGGCGCCAGCAGGTACGGGCCTGCCTCGTTCATCGGCGCGGGGCGCGGACGGGGGACAGGAGGCAATGCTGGCGGAGGCGGTGGAGTCAGGGACTCGCTCATCCGCGAGATCGACGACGAGGAGGACGTCGACCTGTGGAGAGACGAGAGGCGAATGACGGACATCGCATCTCGCCTTGGCGCGAGCACTGGCTCAGAGGGGCTGCATCCCAGCCACGAGGATGAGAGGCGACAAGAGCGCACCCGTGGCAACGCCAGCGCCGCCACCGGGGGCGACACGCAGGATCCTTTCCTCGCCGATGGCGACCTCGACCGCGACGAGTCCTCTAGCATCGCCGAGAGCCGCGGTCGTGGCAGCGTCGCCGGCCGATCCTCTGCCACGTCCCCTTCGCGCATTTACGCACAGCCTGCATCCGCAGCGTCAGCGGCCGGACATCAGCTCTCCCCGGCCCAGGTCATGGGCAGGGCCAAAGGGTGGCTGGCTCACGGCTCCATTGCTGAGTCGGTCTTGCCCGCCGATCGGAAGGGCAAAGGCCGGCAGAACAGCCAAGGCCGGGGCGGCAGAGGTCGCAAAGAAGCAGGGTCCAGCCTCTCCCGGCTGCCTAACGACATCTACCGCGACCCAGATCTCGACGAGGAGGGCTCGGCCCCTGCGTCCCGGTACGGAACCTCGTCCGCTTCCCATCACGTCGAACATGAGCCCGGACGCAGGAGCCGGGAGCGTGGAGGGCACCGATCGCGGGGTCCGGGCCTCTATAGCATCTACGACGAGGAGGACGAGTCAGAGGGGGAGCTCAGCGGCCTTTCTCGGTCTCGCTCGACCTCGATCTCGGCATCCTCGGTCACAGACTCGGGGACCGAGACGGACGACGGACGGCCGCGGCAACATCGGAAGACTCACCGGTCCTCCAAGCGGCCACAGGTCAATCGCAACCGCACACGCAACATGTCGTCGACGATGCGGGACCCGTTGCTTCCCCTCGGCGGCTCGCGCCACCACGGCCGCCGCTCCTCGGAGTCGGAGAGCGACGAGGGCTCGGTCATGGGCTCTGACCGAGACGATATCGCACGCAAGGACGAAGAGGACACCGCCATCTACGTCTACCCCTCTCCTCCGGCTCGATCCGGCTGGGGCCCCTGGGCAAACCGACTCGCCGTCGGCAAATACAAAGACAAGACGGCCATCGTGTGCTTCGCGGGCGCCGTCGCCGCCATCGTGCTCTTTGGGCTTGCCATGAGCTGGGGCGTCAATTCGCCCTCGCCGCCCAAGACGCCCAAGACCCGGCCGTCGTCGTACTACACGATAACGCGGTCGCTGCCGATCCTCATCCTCATGACGCTCTTTGCGTTCGGCGCAGGGCTCGGCAATCTCTTGCTTTTGCGCAACTTCGGCCGGCTGGGAGGCGCTCAGATTCTGCGGACCGGCCTAATGGCGGTCCCAATCGTGCTCGGGCTGGGCTGGACCTGGGCGCTAGCCGGAAGCTTCATCTATGACGACGAGGGTTGGAGCGGAGGCGGCTGGAGCACCACCGGTCTGCGGGTCATCTCCATCATCCCGCTGGGCCTGGCGGTCGTCTTTGCGCGGATGGTTTGGTCGCGGCGCAAGGCGCTCAACAAGTCGATCGCGGTCATCGAACTTTGCTGCGGCATCGTTCTCGACCACCCGGCTCTCCTCGTCCTCTCGGTGGCCTCCCTCGGCGCGTTTCTGGTCCTCACCATCCCCTTCCTCTTCATCTTCACCCGCCTCTTCTTGGTCGGCCACTTTAGCAAGCCGGTCGGCGACTCTGTCGAGTGGAAGACGGACAGGCGGGCGGCGTGGCTCGCGTGGGCCACTCTCGCGACATGGCTCTGGACCTGGGCGGTGCTCCGAGGCGTCCAGAGGGTCACGGTGGCGGGCGTGGTGAGCCACTGGTACTTTCACCGAAACTCTGCGGCAAGAGGTCAGGAAGGCCAGGCCGGCACCGACAAGCGGCAGCCGGACGACGAACACAGCGACTACGTCTACGGCGAGGACGACGGCGACTCCATCTACGGACCCGGGCCTTCGGCGCCGGGGGCCTACGGGCCCAACACTGCTGCGTCGGCGGGTCGATCGAGGTCTGCTGGCAGTCAACCTTCGGCAGAGCCGGATCCCACCGAGATCGTGCGCGCCTCGTTTGCCCGGGCCACGGGCCCTGCGCTCGGCAGCATCTGCCTCGCCGCCTTGATCTTGTCCATCGTCAGGACGCTCACCGTCATCGCCGAGACTGCAAGGCGGGCGTCGGAGGCAACGGCCCAGCGGCGGACGCCCAAGCTGCTGCAGCCCCTGACGCACGTCGTCGCCTTTCTCGCCGGGCTGGGCACGCTGGTACAGGGCTTCAGCAACCTGACGTTGGTCTACGTCGGCATCACGGGCGAGGGCTTTTGGGCGGCCACCAAGAAGAGCGTGCAAACGGTCGGACGCCGTGGCATGCGTGGCGCCTTGGAAGGTGAGTCGGCGCGGGCAGCCCTGCCGAGCGTGCACTGTTGTGTTTGTGCCCTCCGCCGGTACTGACCATGCGCACCGGCTTGTCATGCCCTCCTTGACGATCTGCAGGTTTGATCATCAACCTCGTGCTCGACCTGACGGCCATCGCGCTTTCGTTCCTGTGCGGCATCGCTGGGTTCCTGTTCAGCGCGCACCAGCTCCACGTCCCCGCCGACGCGCCGCTCGTGGGCCTGCTGTGCGCCGTGGTGCCCTACTGGACGCTGCGGCTCTGCGCCGACGTCTTGACGAATGCGTGAGTGCGCTGCCGGTGGACGGTGTCGGAGGGCCGAGAGTGCATGCTCGACTGACGTCTCCCTCCTTGGCTGTCCGCTTCCTTTGACCCATCAGCGCCGACACTCTCTACCTGTGCTACGCCATCGACAGCGACGCCGAGACCGGGCACGCCCACGCCGTCGGCGAAGCGGTGAGTGCTGATTGCCTGCCTGCCTGCCTGCCTCACTGCCCGCCCGCTCGCTCCCGATCCGCGCCAGACCTCTATCTTACCTTGTTGCTGACGTCGCAACGCCATCTTTTGTCCCGCATCCGGTCCTGATCAGCTCAAAGCACGACCAGACACGACAGGCTCGTCGATTCTCCCCTTTTGACCCCATCCCCCGCCCCGCGCCGCCCGCTCCCGAATCGTCCTGCGCAACCAACCCCGCTATGTATCCAGAAAGTGACTCGAGACCGCTCCCCTCAGTCGCCCTCGCCTTGGGCTCTTGGACGACCTCTCACCGCTCCGCTCCTGTCTCCCGGTCCCGGTCGGGTCCGATGCTATACCACTCCGACACCCTCGTCCCCGTCTTTCGGTCTTGTACATGTATCCTCCCTCCCCTTCTCGAGCCACCAATGTCATGATGTCGCTCTTCGACCTCTTGCCCTCTTTCAGAGCCAGTATGGAATTCATGTTCGACAGAGTCCCCATCCTTTGAACTGCACCTCACGGCACCAGACTAGACCCCGGTTCGGCAGCAGCAGGGAGGTCGTACCACCGCATGTCCAGGTCTGATGAACCATGCGCCGTGCGGGGTGGGAGAGACGGGATGGACGGCAGGCGGCATCAGTGTCTCCTTGGCGCTTCTTTGCTCTCTCAAGGCAGCGTGGCGCAATGGCCAGGGTACGTACCAGCTTGTCGACCAATTTGAGTGTCGGTCCTTTTGTCTCGGGATACAAGAAGAAGGTGAGAACGATGAAGGCTGCGTGTTGAAGATGGCAAAAAGGCCGGTAGTGACCCTGGACCCCCCGACCCTGCCTGCATCATGCCTCTGAAACTAGCAAGGCCATTGCCGCTGAAGCATCAACCTGTCGGCTGACCCTTGCCAACGGCCCTTTCAGACTGACGAACAAGCTCATCAAAGTACTCAATGATAGATGCCAACGCAGCTGTGAGATCAGGGTCAGGACAAGATGGATGACAACAGGAGGCTTGCAGCTGTGCAGACACACTGGCACTTCATTCAGGTCAGTGTTGACTGGTAGGCACACAGCCCTGGTCCTTGCCCAGGGTCTACAGCAGATGCAGGCTGATGCTATGGGGCCAGGCTGATGGCAGAGGCCCTTTGCTGCACCAAGCTTGCACAAAGGAAGAAGAGGAGGGAGGAGTCATGCCCATTGGCTCTCTCAAGGGCCTATGCTGCTCAGCTCAGCTTTCAGCATCATCAGTCTCTTGGATCCCAAACAGACAGACAGGGCTGCTCAGAACCAGCAAGACCTCTCCAGCTGCATCAGCCTGCTGTTGTTGGCAGCACAGCAAGCACTATGCCTGGACACAAAGTGTGTTCCCTCAGCTTCACCCCCATGCTTTTGGACTGCCAGTTGTAGGTGGCGCCTCTGCATTAGACAATCTGCTAGGCTACTGTTACGCCCAAGCACGTGCGGTTCCAAGAATGCCGGGTGGAGTGCTCCTTACCAACGCTCTGCCAGCTAGCCCACCACTCGGTGGTCTAGTTGGCGCAACGGTCTTTTGTCCATTTGCGCTGCTGCCTCAGAACCCGGCCTAACAGCTACTGCTGTACAATGACCACTGCTCTGCCCAGCTTGGAGACTGCCAAGGAGCCTGCCAAGCCTCGCGACCATGCCAACACCTTCAACGTGCCTCTGGCCAAGCCTGCTGCACCTCACAACTACACCAACACCTTTTCTCTTTTCATATTCCTCAAGGAACAATACCCAAAGGCATCTTGGGATGTCGCTCGGATTGGGGAGCTTGCCCTCAATCACCGAAAGGCCGCTGGATACACAGAGCTCCTTTCCTGTTCCTCGGCTCTTCTTGTTCAAGCCTACTTGGCCTGGACCGAGTCTTCCATGCAGGCAAGTCTGTCACACTAGGGCCTGTGGCAGGCCATACTGTTGCTTCACAGCAAGGTATTGAGCTCTACCTACAGCAGGGATAGTGGACCATCAGGTATAACACGAGGCACCTCTAAAGTTTCCCTGCTGCTATCATGCAAGCTTACATGCATGCTGTATCTTGACACCCCGCAGAAAGCGAGCCGGCGTGATGCGCCCCCACGCACCTCGTAAGCTCGTACGGGACACTCCCCCTCCCTGGCCTCGTCCGAGAACAGGCGGGAACGACACTGGTCGCGCCCGTCTGCTGTGGCCACGCACGGATGCGCACAGTCGACGACTTCTGACCCCAGGATTAACTAAGACGCCAACGTGGGCGGAGCGATGGGTGGTTTTAAAGGACAAAGGCAACAGGGGCAGACGTTGAGACGACGACCCTGCGTCGTCGATCCCCCCTGACGAGCGACAGAGTAGACGGAGCGATGTGTAGCGGCAGGCGGCAGGGTATGGTGGGGGTGGGCAGCATGAGCGTGGCTACAGAACAAACAGAACAAGAACATCAAGAGGGACGCGCAAGCCGTAGTCGTCAAAGAATCATTGGGGTGCCGGGCGGAGAGGACGTGAAGGGAGGTCTCCCGCCCCTCGTCCTCCTGGCTCCTTCCCCTCGCCTCACTGCTCTTCGTCAATCTCGGCGCCCTCGCTCGCATCTCGGTAATTGGAGGCGAGCGAGACGACGCTGCCCATCCTCGCCTTGGAAGTGACGGCGGTGTACGGTCCGCGCGGCGACTTGCCTCCGTTGATGCCCGACTTGCGTTCGTCGGCAGCGGAGTCAGCCTCGCGCTGCATTGGCGAAGGCGGATCCGCATGGAACGACGGCACCTCGTCTCCACCGAGGAGCCAGGCAACGACGAGGTTCTGGTCGCAAGCCTCGAGCGAGGTCGGTGCCGCGACACGGGTAGCCTCGAGCTCATCGGCAGGCCGTCGAGGTGCATCGGCAGCGGCGTACCTGGCCTGCGGACGATCGGTGCCGGCGCTGGCTTCACGGGACAAGGACGATGAGTGTGCGCCATGCACGCTAGACTCCTCGTCTGGGATGTCGGCAATGCTGCCGTGGTGGACAGAGGAGCCAGTCTCGTGTAGATCGCTGGTGCCGTTGGCGGTGGGCCCGTTGCCGGCACCGGTGGCGCTCCCCGAAAGCGCTCTGCCAATGAGGGCGCGGCACTCTTCGACCGAGCTGCAGTCCCGCATCTGCTTCTCGAGCTCGGCCAGCATCAGGATGACATGGGATGGAGGCCGTTGGTGCGCCATAAACGAGCTGCTGTCGCGGCTGGCGGCCAGAGAGCTCTGCGCGCCCGATCCCCGCCGTCCATTGTGTGTGTAGAATAGCGTGGGCGTGCGTCCGCTGACGTTGTGGCCGCCACCAGCGCCATGGGTCACTGAACTTTCGTCCAGCTGTGCATGGCCGGGCACATCGCCATTCTCGGTTGATGCGCGTGTGGTGCGGTAGCTCGCGCCACCATGCCCGTTGGAGCTCTGGTAGCCAATGCTCCGCCGCTTATCAGACGTAGGCGTCCCGGAGCTGTCGCCTTCGGCGCGTCCGTGACCGCTGGCCGAGTAGCGATTGTAGCCCCACGGAACTTTGCGACTCGGCAGCTCGTCCTGCCGTTGCCGTGCTCGCGGCGAAGGCGGCGTCCGAGGCCGCGGCTGTTTCGTCTCTTCGTAGAGACCGACGAGGGCCGGGCTGGCCCGTCCCTGCCGCTCGTTGATGCTCCTGCGATCATCGATCGTGCTCTGAGAGTCGGCCCGGGCGGTACCAGCGCGGCTGCGGGCGTCAGTCGGGGTCGCTCCGGCAGCACTAGTGGCTGCTAGCGCTGGCTGGTCCACGCCAGGGACGGTATTGGTGACGGTGACTTGCACCGGAGAGGCAACAGATCCCGCCGACGAAGATGGTCTCGAGGCGTGGAAGGATGGCCCGCGCCGAGCCGCTTCGCCCGACATGGCCGGATCTGCATGCTGCCCGACCGTCGTCCGCCTTCCCATGGAGCCTGCCATGAGCGGTGAAGAGCTGCGGGCATGCTCGGCGTGCGAGACGATGCTCGACCCGCCCGAGGGCGAAATCTGGCCTGATGTCGACTGGGCGTCGTCTCGCATGCTGCTGACCGAGGCGCGAGGCGGGGAGGACAACACGTCCTTGCCATTGACGCTGGCCTTACGACCAAACAGGTTGCGGACCCGGTTGCTGACGCCGACCTTCCTCGAGCCGTCGGATCCGCTCTCACTCAAGCGGAGGCTGCCGTGCGAGGACGTTGTGTCGTGCGATGGAGCAGACCGAAGGAAATCGACCATGTCCTGCGACGACGTGCCGCGATCGACCTGGCCTTCGCGCGGCTGCATTTTGCGGCTGGCCGCGCTCGTGCTGGCGTGTCCGACAGACTCCAGATCGTCATCGCCGGCACCCGATCCATTATATTTGGGCGAGACAAGGGCTGGTGAGGGGCTTCGATACGACGAAGGCGGCTGCGACCCGAACTTGCGCTCGGGATGCGTTGACCACGACGACGGCGCCTGCAGGCTTCCGCGGGAGCTGGGCCGCCGCGTCAACTTGAAGCCTTCCCCTGTGTCGACAGGCTCGGTCAGCTGGACACTCGCCCGGCGAGCCGGCGAGGGAGTCGAGTTACGGTTCACGCCGGCGAAGTCGTCTCGCAGAGGTGAGACCATCGCACCCGGCCTCCGGCGCGCGTTCATCTTGGCGTCGGCCTCCTGTTTCGCGACCTGTGACGGGGATCGGCGAACATGCCGTGTCAGCAGTGCGTCCGAAATCGAGTCGCAGGGCGATCAGTTCTTCGCTCACCTCGATTGTGCGTAGGCGGTTGGGCGTGAGGGACACCTTCATGGTCTGACCTGACAGCATCAAGGCCTCGAAATCCTAGGAGCATCAAGGCAAAGGCAAAAATGGGCGTTGGTGTGACATGATCGAATAGAACGGCGCCGGCTAGAGCCCAAAGCAATCGACGCGGATTGTAGGGCCAGCGTAGCGGTGGGGGACTCACGTCTTCGGGCTCGAGAGCCGACTCGTCGTTCTGCGAAGCAAGAGCGTCGGAGGGCGAGAGCGTCCTGCCGAATGACCCAGACGCAACGTCTGAGCTCTGCCGCTGGCTGTTGCGGCGCTTCATCTGGCCAAAGACGCCAGTCCAGCCCTTGTCCGAGCTCTGACGCCTCGACATGCCGGAGCGGCCGTCGATGGATCCAGCCGGGCCGATGGATCCGGATCCTGTCACCGAGGTGGCAGCGGTGCTAAGCGACGGGTTCGTGCTGCTGTGAGACACGCTTTCGCTGGACTCCAGGACGCCCTGTGTGTAGGAGTGGCCGCTCGAGCTGGCCCTCTCGTGATGGGAGTCTTGTCGGCTTCCGCGCGCGACGGGCTGGACCGAGGCACGGCGAGCGGAGAAGCGCGCAGGTGCAGCGGCCTCATCGAGCTCATTTTCGGTCGGAACCTGCCACGGCTTGACGGCCCGAGCCTCGCCCTTGCCGCCCTTGCCGAGATCGTCGGGCAGACCCGATCCGTTGAGCCTCCTGTTCCGCCGGCCGTGTGAGATTTCAATCCGGCGCTCGACTTCGGCCTTGATGGCCATCTTGTTGAAGAGACCGGCGAGGAGCTCGTCCTCGGCCAGGGCGGCCTTGAGGTCATAGAGGCTCGCCTCGTCTGAGTTGTCCCGCTCTATGACTCGAGCCACGTTTTGAAGCACGTGTTCGCCCACAAACTCGAGCAGGGCGGTCACGTAGATGGCGACGCCGGGCGTGATGGTGGCGATAGGCCTTCCGTCGTTGCTCATGATATTTTGGTCGGTGCCGGCGCTGTCGTCCTCGCGATCGCCGAGGGTAGAGTAGTACTGGCATCGGATGCGCAGCTGAGGGCAAGATGCAGCAGGGCAAATGAGGCAACGGTCTGCATGTCAGACGCTTTCGAACTTGCCCATCACCGTGTATCCGGATCGAACCCCATTGCGACTCACAGCATTATAAGCGCTCGTCACCGGGAAATCCTCAGTCCCGTCCAGCCTCGAGGTCGCCATCAGTCCCAGTGGGATCTTTGCGCCCTCGGCCCTCTTCCCGTCGAGGTAGCTGCGGAGCTCGAGTTCCGCCTCGAGCACCGCGTCCTTTGCAAGAAGATTGTTGCCGAGGACCCTGAGCATGCCGTCTGTCTTGATCCGATCGGTGGCCAAACTTCTGGCGGAGCTGAGGATGAGGAGGAGCAGCTCATCGAGCAGGCGATTCAGGACGAGAAGCGTCTCGGCCTGGATTCGAGTGGGTCGGTTCTCCGAGATGAGGGCGTTGGCTGCCCTCGCGCTGATGTAGGAAGGCACGTCGGTAGCGGCGCTGCGGCCGCTAATGGGCGGGACCATGGCCGAAAGGTGCCGGGCTGGCAGTATAGCGAAGGCGAGTGCCCGTATCCTCGCCCTCGATGGTCGGGTAGTCTCAAAGCGAGCTGTTCTGTAAGCTCAGCTCGCAAATCCTCCCTCGAAGTGGGAAGAGCAATGCTCGGAGCCGGTATGGGGGTAGGCCTGGCGTGCTGAAAGCCTGCTGCAGTGGTATGGTCGAGGGGCGAACCGTGGAGGATGAAAGACTGAGTCGTCAACCACGCGAAGTAGGCCGCGGCGGTGCTGGGCGCGAGAGGGGCCAAGGAACGTGGCGTAAGTAGGGCGCAGAATGAGCGGTGGAGATGATTCTGGCGGTCGGTGCGGGATCGTAGAGGCTTGGTGGGCTGGTCGATGTTCGTGATCGTGGCGATTAGGTCGTGGGCAAGAGGCAAGCCAGGGTAGAGAGGGTCGGAGTCGGGAGGACAAGAGATGGAACGAGCGCGACGAGCGCCGGGATGCAAGGGTGGCTTCTCTGCTGCTTGTGCTGTCGACAGCAGCGGTCGGTGTGATGGAAGATGGAAAGGGGAAGGCTGAGGGGGGGAGGGGGCAGAGGAGCGAGACTCGGCTCGGGAAGGGTGAGAGGCCAGGGGGCTCCAGCGCAAGCAAGCAAGCAAGGCAGGGCAAGCAGGCAGAGGGCCACAAGCAGGCAAGCGCGAGCGAGGTGCGAGGTCTCTGTAGACAGAGAGCGAGGCCGGCAAAGCAAGGCGCCCTAGCCTTAGCTTGGCCTGACTGCCAGGCCGGTCGAGTCGGCGGCTGGTGAGGGTGCAGGTTAGGCTGCTGCACCTGCACCTCGCTCGCCAAAAAAAGAAAGGACGAAAGAAAGGGCCGGCCCGCGCTCTGTCTACTTTGCTTGCTTGCTGCTTGCTTTTTCCCTTTGGCCGGGCGTGCAGGCCGGGCCTCGCGGCATCCTACACCTCCCTCGCCCGCGCTTGTGTGGGCCCATTTGGCACCCACCCACGCACCCACGCACCCACCGTCGCCGGCACCCACGCAGACGAACGAGGCCTGCTGGTCTGGGCAGGCCAGCCCTGGGCCAGCGTGCGTGCCGTATCAGCTGGGTTCGGCCCCCGTCTGCGCCCCTCCGAGTACTCTTGACGACTCGGCGTCTGCGTTCCGTGAGTACGCCCTCTCAACGGCTGCAAGTCGCGTCTGCAGACGCGACGACCCAACCGTGGTAAAGACAACCAGGCAGGCAGGCAGTCGCAAGAATGTGCAAAGGCCGAAGGCGATGGCCGCCGTGGTCATACGACTCCGGGCGAGGAGAACAAGCAAGCAAGCAAGCAAGGACAAGGAGACAGAGAGAGGAAGAGAGGAAGAGAGGAAGAGAGGAAGAGAGGAAGAGAGGAAGAGAGGAAGAGGGAGGGAGGGGCTGGAAGAGGTCGGGAGGAGAGATGTCGGCTGCCGGGCCGACCATGGCCGCGGCACGCCTGCTTCGGACGGGCTCCGCCTGGCCTTGCGCCCAACCGCCTTAGCCTGCGTGGTACGACGTCGTGACAGCTACAGTAGGCAGCGCGCCCTAGCCTACTCTTGCTTTGTCCAGTCCGGGACCCAATAGCCGCCAGGTCGTGCTCTACGTACGCTACACGGCTGCCTGCGTGCTTGCTCGCCATCATGCCTTCCCTCGTCGGGTGCAGAATCACCACGCACGCATACGGTCGACAATGCACCCCTTCCGCTTCGGCGCGGCGAAGGGGCTCTTCGGGATCCGTCCTGCGCTCGTCCTGGACCGGTGGGCACGCGGTACGGCCCTACCTGCCTTCCCTCTTCGTCCAAAGTGATCAAACATGCATGGTCGCTTGCCCTGGGTCTACCCTCGCGCCTTCATGCGACTTTGTTGCTCACTTCAGACGAGGCGAGACGAGGCAGGGATGGCGGGCCAGACGAGGCGGGCCTGCGACACGAGAGAGGCAAATCGGGCAGGTGTACAGCCGACGACCGGCCCTCTGGGTGGCGCCTAGATAGCGCAGGCCAGCGCAGCCAGCGCAGCCAGCCCAGGGCCAGGTCGTGAGCGTCGGTCGAGTCCGAGTTCCGAACCTGTTACCCCATGGGCCCGCGCCTCATCAAATTTTTTTGCGGCCGCCGCTCGCCAAGAAGGAAGCCTCGGGATTGCCGATGGTCCGCCCGTCTGGCTCGACCAGCTCGTTGGAATACGATCCACACCACATCACATCCGCCGACACTTGGACCACGCAGTCTCCAGCCGCACATCACATTTGCTTTGCTTGCCGTCCGCCTACTACGCTCCTTGACCTCCTTCGGCTTCTTCCGATCGGTCCGGTCCCCCTTGAAGCGTCTCGCAGCCCGTGCGGAGCCTGGACGTCGGTCAGCCTCGCCCTGCCAAGATGCCGGCGCCCACCCAGCCTACGCCCGGCCTCCAGCTGCCCACCAATCTCGTATCGCATCCCCTCGCCGCCTCCAGCGCGCATCACGTCGGACCTCTGCCGACACTCGCTTCCTCGTCCGCGCGCCGATCCCAGGCGGCTATCGGCGCTTCCTACAAGCTCTCGAGCGATGGCCGTAGCGTGCGCAGGCTCAAGGGCATCTTGCCCGTCGCCATCGCCGGCCAGTCGGTTTCGCTGATCAACGTGAGTCGATGGTGCCTCCCCGCCTGCCTCTATCGCTGAGCCCCTTGATCGCTGAGCCCCTTGATCGCTGAGCCCCTTGATCGCTGAGCCTCCTTGTCTTTGCACCTCCGGCCGTATCGCATGTCGCTGCAGCCCTTGACCCAGACGCCGGTGCAGAGCTTTACGCTCTCGCCCTCGGATCAAATCTGCACAGCACCTCTTGTGGTGCTCCGGCCACGGTCGGGCAACCGGTCGCTCAGAACCACCTACTTTGGTGTCAGGACCAAGGCGTCGTCCGCCGCTTCGACGGTCTCGCCATCTGATGAGCCGGTCAAGGCCGAAGTGTGGGCCTTTACCGAGGAGCTCTCGACCAAGGGCAAGGGCACCGCGGATGGCGCCGTCCGCAAGGAAGTCGCCCTCGTCGAGGGCTCAGTCTCGCTGCTGCACGTCCTGTGCAGCGGCCACCTGGTGGCGACCCTCTCGGATGGCAGTCTTGCCGTCCTCTCCCACGCTCTTGGGCTGCAAGACGAGACCTCGCAAGCCTCTTCGGCGGCTTCCTCCGCGTTTAGAGTGATGCAGACCGTTCCGAGCGCCGCGAGCGAATCACTGGCGCATCTCCACGTCTCGTTGCTCGACCCCACCGCTGCTCAGCCCCTCGTGGCCGGCACCTCAAGGATCGAAGAAGGTACCCTCCAAGGGCTCCGCATCGCCATCTCATCGGCAGTCGCTGCGCCTTCCAGCGGCGCATCCGCGGCTTCGGGCAAAAAGAACAAGAAAAAGGGCCGCAAGTCGGCCATCGAAGTCATTGACGAGGCCGAAGGGCGGCAGGACGCTGCGGGACCGAGCCCGACTGGCGTGGCCACCGTTTCGATCAGCGCGCTCCTCCGTCCCGTCGACGAGGCAGCCGATGCTCGCCTGCGAACGATCGCACTCGGCACTCTTGCTCTCACGGAGGTCGGAGACGCTAGCAAGCTGCTCGACTTGCAAGTCTACGGTGACGGCCGCCTCGTCGCGCTGACCCGCGCCGGCGAGCTGGTGTCGGCCAGATTGAGCCTTGCCGCGGGCCAGCCCACCCTCTCCCAGTGGAAGCGGGTCAAGCTGGCAAATTTTGCGCATGCATCCAGCGGAGCATTGCCGGCTGCCGTGCTCCCTCTGAGCAAGGACCACGTGCTGCTCGTTGCCGCTCCGCAGAGCAGGAATGCCACGGCGGACGGTGGCAGAGGTCAAAAGGAGCGGGTGGTGGCGCTCTTGTTCGACCTCGAGGTCGAGGCAGTTCTCACACAGATTGACTGGGCCATGTCGCCGGGTTCTCAGAGCCGCCTGGGCGTTCCCCCGTCGATCAGCGCGTCCAGGGTGGCCGGGTCCATGGCCATCATTCAGCTCGATCCACCGAGGGGCTCAGGTGCTTTGTCGGCGGCGGCAGACGAGACGCCATCGTCGCGAGTCAACTTGCTCGCCTTGCCATTCGTCGTGCCGGACTACAGCGTGCTTAGACATGCCATGGGCAAGGGCGAGCTGACACGCATCTGGACCGCCGACGCCCCGGACTCTGCTGCCGATGCCGTCGCTGCGTCGCAGAGCAAGGATGGGGCTCACAGCAAACACGGCAGCCTGTCCCAACATCAACGTCAGCTCGTCGAGACGCTCGAGGGCATCTCCACTTCCAACGGCGGCAAGGCTCGGGCAGGCCAAATGGACGCGGCTTTTGAAGCTTGGAAGAACGAGGAGAAGGCGCGGCTCGGATCAACCATCGATACCAGTGGGGATGGTCAGGTCCGCGGCGCGCAAGATGAGGACGATATCGAGAGCATCTTGGCAACAGTCGAGGTCTTCGCCGCCAAAGCAGGCCGGTCTGGCAAGGGAGCGCGCTCTCGAAACGCGCCCGAGGTGGACCTGCCCTACAACTTTGTCTCGGCCCTGCTGCCCATCGTCCTGCCGGACGCCAGCAAGCCTGCGATGCCGTACGCCAAGGGTGTGGTCCACTACCTGCTGACGCGACGGGCCGTTAGCTCGCTGATGCTCTCCGGATCCTCGGCAGCCACGGGTGGCAGCCTTCTGGCTCGGCTGCGGGCGCGTTCGGACTGGTTCAGCATCATGCTGGCCATCCGCCACGTTCCCGACGTGTCCGAGCTCGACCTGGTCCTGCTGCTCATCGAGGTCCTGAGGGCCGACAAGAAGCGGCTTCAGTCCGCCGACGGCAACGGCGTCAGCGGCGACAATGCGGTCAAGGGAAAGCCGCCGAGCACCGTAGAGTTCCTCGCAAGCTTTGTCGCCATCGCCGTCTCCCGTCCGTTGCTGCGCGGCACGCTCAAGGCCCGGGTCAACGATGTCGACGACGTGGCCGTCCTGCTGCGCATTCTCAAAGGGTGGCTCGACGTCGCCGTCAGGGTGCCGCTCGAGGCCGGCGCCAAGCTGCCGGACAACGTTCCGGCGGTTGACCTGGTAAGTCGCCATTGCCCTGGCTCGCCGCGCCAGTCGTGCTTGATCAAGGTGTCTGACCTGGCTTTCCCGCTTCCGATCCGTCCGCATGTCCTGCAGGTCCTGCCTTTTGCCACCGACCTGCTCGATACCTACTTCCCGCTGCTCATTTCGACACCATTGACTCACGAGCTCCTGCGCTCTCTGTCCAAGACGATCCAGCTTCACCTGTCGGGGCTCAACAGCCTCATCACTCTGGGGGCTCCGCTGTCCGCCTTTGCCAAGCTCGAGGAGGAGAAGCGCGTCGAGAGCCTGCGCGCTGCTGCTGCGTCCGCCGCTCGAGGCGGGGCAGCCCACGTCGGACCGGGCGGCGCGGCCATGTCGGCGGGCAACATGAAGGTAGCGGCCGGCGGCAAGGGCGCCGCAGCGGCCAGGGCCGAGACGGGCGGTGGCCTAGGCATTGGCCTGGGCACCGAGGGCGTGCAGAAGACGAGGCGTGCCGAGGCGAGGGAGGAAAGCATGCTGGTCGGCGCCTACGCCCTCGAGAGGCTCGAGATCTAGATTAGAGCAGAGCAGAGTGCGGACCGGTCCTGTAGAAGTAGCTGGTCCGGGAGGCAGAAGGGCGCTGTCGCTCGCAGTGCAGTCGCATCCGTCGATCTATCTGTTGCATTTCACCGTGCTGCAGCCTTCGCCGAAACGACCTCGGGACCGAGATGGAAGGCATCGACAGAGAAGCCCATCGCAAGCCCGGGCTCGTCGATCTGGTATGACTTTCTTCGAATGTTCGCAAGACGTGAGAGGCTGTGCAGCGCGAGAGTCTCGAAGAATATTCGCTGTGCTCAATTCGTTGCCCGAGTCTCGATCCTGGCCCCACGTTTCGTTACGTGCTCCAAGGGAGTAGCAGCCAGCCAGGTGATCAGTGTCGAGAGCATGCTGGTGACAAGGCGGCGAGAACGGCCCACCAGCTACACCTCTGCGATCCCCCGCTGCTTCGAGATGGCCGGATGCCCCGGGTTGCCAAGACTTCTTGCTCTGCTCAGACAGAGACAGGCAGGCGGACCCTGACCCCACACCCGCCCTATCAGCAGCCTCGAAGGGGTGTCCACGTTCTCGCCAACTTCTTTGCTTGGCAGTAGGCAGGTAGGCAGGTGAAAGTCCGTCGCTGCCGTCGTCGTCGCGTAGTCGTCGACCTAGCTAGTCTCGTGTTCCCCCCAGGGTCGCGCTGGGATCTCCTCTGGTCAGGGTCCGCAGGACGGGCTATTTCGGGTCGCGCGGTATTCACTGTAGGCAGGGGAGGGTGCGGGTGCGGGTGGGCGCGTTCCTGTCGAGCTCCTGCAGCGCTTGGCACGCTCGTGCATCTCCCTCGGGACTCGCTGGCCGAAACGGCAAACCAGCAAGCCAGCAGGCAGCCGTCCGTCCTCCGTCTACGTGTCGAAGCTGTGTCCGCAGCGAAAGCGAACTCGACGATCTACGAGCGGAGGGGCTGCCTACGCACGCCACACCTCGACCTCGATCGCCTACAAGTCAGCAGAGCCTGGCCAGGCGGTGCTATCTGGTCTTCGGGTCGGCGACCCCGGTGACAGCGTCGGACGCGGCGGGCCAGCGCTCGCAGGGGGTGCAAAGGGCGACGGATGAGGTCATTCGGGAAGCGGCCGAAAACCGAGGCGGTGCAGCGGCGGGCCCGATTCCGATTTCTGGACGCGGCTGGCGGGCGATCCACGCGGTTCCTGGCCTGCCAGCGGGCCAGCAGGCTAG